AATATCCCATTATCAATAGGTCAAATACTTCGAACAAAATTTTAGATTTCAGACAATACACATGTATTTTCTGTTTACCATCAGAAAAATATCTTGCTTTCAAGACATACTGAGGGTATCAAAGTGGAGAACAATCAAAATATAAAGCCTGATGGACACAGTTTTAAGCCTTAGTCGGAGATCATTTACTTCACATATTTGGACACAATATCAACTGGACATGTTATTTTGTATCCTGATAAAAAAGAAAAGGAGGCTTTCAACAGATGAAAGATTTTAATCTTCAGCAGTATTGTCTGTGTAATGTATAACATTCACCTGGATGCATTGGGATGTGTTGAAGCAAGGGATTGGGTACGTCTTGAATGTGCTTGTCTCTGCCTTGCAAGGAAAGACTGTCCTGTGCCAAAATTAGTTAACCTCTCTTCTGCTGCCTTTCTGTGGAGCTTCATTCCCTGAAAAAATGTGAACAATACAGGACATGATCTTATATGTCATTCTGTGCCATACCATGTAAAAACCTTTAAAAGATTTTTTTACCTTGACTCTTGTATCTCTGCGAATATACCATGATATATGACGTAAATATTGGTAAGAAATGCAATCTTTTGAGTTATTTCTGTATAATACAATTCATTGCAAAACTTTAACTGGTATTACTTACTACTGGTCAATGAAGAGGATTTGTATTTTACAGTTTCTTTCTTATTTCCAAGTTCACTTACCAAATTATACCAAGCTGTTACTATCAACTTTTCTTCTTGCTCTTTGACAGCCTTAGAACGCTCTTGATCTTTCTGCAAATTCAAATCAGAAATGTTTTATTTTAAGTAAAAATCATATAACTATTTCATCTAGTGTCCTGGTTATATTGGTATATCATCCATATAATAAACTTTTGCTTAAAGGCAATTTCTACTCACTTCTAGATGTTCTATTATTCGTTCTTTCTCTTGTAGTTGATTTTTCAAAGCTTGCACCTCTGCGGATGTTCCCTGATTTTGTTTTGGATCCAAGGCCCGAATAACCTATAAAACATATTTCCACATAATTCAGAATTCTGAAGTTGTACTAAGTGTTGGCTCATACAGTACATAAACAACTGATAAAATGTAGTGTGTTTTCTAAAAGATTTCTGTATCTATTTCATATGGATGTTTTTAAAGCTGTCTCTCTAACATAAAAACCAAAAAGTCAAATACTTCTCTTAAAGCACCAGCTTTTAATTTTCCAAGTCTGATTCATGTTCAACTTACACTTTTGGCCTTATCCAGATATTTTTTATATCTTTCTTCCATGTGTCTCATATCATCCTCCTTTTTATTAAGGGCATCTTGCAACTGCTGAATCTTCTCATTACTGGATGCAACGCGTGGCTCAAGTTCATCTAAATGCAGGCGTTTCTTTTGAACTTCCTGCTCAAGTTCTTTATTCTTTTGGATTTGTTCATTAAGTCTTTTCTTGTATTCTGTGGTATTGTCCTCTTTACTGCTGGCAGAACTGGCTGCATTTTCTCTGAGATCCTCAATCTGGGCTTCAAGCTCTAAAATCCTCTGGTTTGCTAGTCTGGAAGCAAAAGATATTTAGGATGTACAAAACAAAACTGCAGTTATCTCGGTTCAGGAATGATGCATACCTTTCTCAAATCAAATCTTTTTAAATAGTTATACTTAAACGCAGACACAATTTTAAGAGCAAAGTAAAAACATTCTCTCTTTGATCTGATTCCAACGGGTAATTATCCCACAGAGAGCAGTCTGGTGTCAATACCTGTTTTCTGTTTCCAGTTCATTGTTTCTAGCTTTGGTGTCTTCCAGCATTGAGGTGACCAGCTGGGCATTCTCATCCTCACTGCCCTCCTTGGACAGTTTCAACATCTTGTTTTCGTGTTGTAAACGAATCAATTTTTCTCTAGAGGAAAAAAATGGACACAGAATGAGAGGCATTCAATATATCATAGCAACTGCTAAATTATATTCACACCTCATCATAAAACGAGGATAATTCAATGTTAGGAGTATGTGACATGTGGCACATACAGATGGACTCTTACTGGGCAAAATAAATCCTTCAAATAAAAAAATTCCATGTTGCAACAAAAATTTCTCAAGGAACTTCTAAATTCAACTATTTAAGAAAATGACATGTTTTAGTCATTGTTTTTCTAACAATAAAGATTTATACATCTAAAATATTTGTGGAATTTTTTATCAGAACAGATACTTACTTAATCTCAGGAGGTACACTCAGCATATCTAAGCTGCCCGGTGATGTGGAACGGTCTGATGGACTGCCTGAAAACTCCTCACCTAAAACACAAAATTATGAATTTATCATTCTCACATCAAAACATTTTGATTTTGCTTTAATTTGATTAAGAATGTGAAAAGGTAACCACATGCCAAATTTGGTGCTTTTATCCACCGCGTCACGCATTAACCATTTTTTTTACCCTAAGCCACCTCACTATTTCTTGATTGTCCCTTTCTGCTTATTTTGCATTATCTTCATTTTTAAAGAAAAAATATTGCAATTTTTGAAGAAACTTTATAAGACAAAATACTGACATTCAAATAAGGCATAATAAAAAACTTGCTGGCCTATTAGAGATGAAATTACTCTAAGAAAACAGCAAAGATTCTCACCTGTATGTAATACATTTGTTAAGCTCAGCTCTTCATTTGTTTCTCTCAGAGAATCTCTCTCTGTGACTAGCCTCTGAAAGATGATATCATGATTTTTTTTTATAGCTGACATTATCACAGTTCAACAACAAATCCTACAAAACATCCCCATTTACAAATACTGTAGTTCAAAATAACTGCCCCCAGTTTTCCAAAAAGTTCTAGTGGCAGTTTCAGTTCCAGTGGCTGACATCTTCATTATCAATGTTACATGGTCACATGCACACATCTTACCCTATCAAGAACAGTGTTACAGCACTCTCATGGACACATGCACACACCCTTAGAAAGGGAACTGACTTAAGTTTTTTGGTGAAACAGGGGCCTGGGTAATTCAAATAAATTACACTGATGTCACTTTAAAATCTTACTTCTTTTTCTCTCTGCAATGACGCCATCTTTTCCTGAGTTCTTTTGGCCTCAAATTCTGCTTTGTCTGCCCTCTTTGTTTCTTCTGAGCTCTTGATCTGCAACTCCTGGACCTGCCTCTTATAAGCATCCAACTGGGTCTTCAAACTAGTGCTCTTTCTCACCTCCTACAATTATATAAAAAACAGTTTAACACCGATGAAAACTTTTGACAAAAAGCATTTCTAGAAAACAAATTTTCAAAAGAGAAATGAAGCAAATTAAACAAAAAAAATGCAAGTTTAACATTTAAATCCTCAATTTTTCAAATGAAGAAACTAAAGGAAATTTATATAAAAGTCACAGATAGACCATGTTTAAAAAATGTGGAAGCATTATTAATTTTTCAAATTTCTAAATGAACACTCTCAAGAACATTTGTAAAATCAGGTCAACATTGAAGCCTATTATAATTATCATGCAGCCAAGTAATCAATAACAGAATAGTTGCTGATATGATATGAAGTCTGATGGTCTTTTTTTTTACCTCTTCCAGATCTAAAGACATCTGAACATTGCTCGTGTTCTTTTCCTCCAGCATCTTGACCTGTCTTCTCAGGTCACTCATCTCCTCTGAAAGTAAATATGTGGTTAGATAGAACTCCATGTTTTTACTATCAAGACACTTCACTGAAAAATACTTTCAATTTCAAAACAAAAGAACATACAAGTCAAATACATGTTACACAGAAAGACCACTCCTTAATTCATGGATGCTTTACAAATATTTATGGAAACACATAATGTAACATCACGAAGACACGCAGGTCTAAAGACATCTTAAAAACAGCAGTTTCTACTTACCTAGTTTTTTCTTGTATGATTCTATTGTTGTTTCATATCTGATCTGTAACAAGCAAACAGAAATATGCAATGTAATTACACACACAAAAATATACATTTACTTTATTTGTGCCTTATATTTGAAATATCAACTTAAAAAGATATTATTTAGATCTGCGATTTTACATTTCTCTGACAAACTTACCACTTTATCAGAAGTGTGCCTGAGAACATCTAGCTCATCCTTCAGTGTCCTGGCTTCTTCTGCCAAAGAACTCAACTCATCATTCTGCAATTTCAAAAATAAATAAATAAATAAATAAATAAATAAATAAAGTATAATAAGCAAATGTGACACCTCTCATCATACTTAGACAATTTAAATTTCTTTTTGTTACAACAGTGATATTATATTGAGAAAAAGTATGATAAGGAGAAATGATGATTCAGGAACTGCAGACTATGTTCAAAGTAACTTGCCTTCTGTTTTTGGTCTTGCAGCTCTTTCTCCAACAGCTCAATTTTAATCTTGTGGTCATCTCTCACTGTAATTCAGAGCAAAGATTCACGACAAGGCAAACAACTAACCTTGTTTAACTTCCAATCTTAATTTAAAATTATTAAAATAATAGTAATAATGTGCGTTTATAATGGTGCTGGCATTTATACACCCTATTTTCAGTGGTTATCTTTCTTCACAGATAAATAGATTTTATTTCCTAAATTATTTTGTTTAATTTGAAGCTTTTTAGAAGTGACAACTACTGGCTAACCATTTTAGAGGTTTGTATTTTTAGGAGTATAAACATTACAACAGACAACAATTCTGTACACAAAGTATACTTCTTAAAAGCTAAATATACATTAAAAAATTCAATGATAAACCAATTAATTTGAAATCTTTTTAACATTTATAAGTGCTAATTGTACTGCAGAATAAATACCTGTTTCTGCTCTGAACAGTTCCTCCTGAAGTTGTTCTACCTGGTTCTGAAGATTCTGGAACCTTCTCCCAGCTGGGGTGCTGCAATATACATAGAGATCTTTATAAGTTATCTTTGTATCACCATGTTTCATAACATCCACATTCAATTCACCATATTATATAAAATATTTTCAATACTCCACCTTTCAAAATCTTTTAAGATCACTTTCTGGCTTAAGTGAAAATGATACCCGTAATACTTTTAATAAGGTGCCACATTACGCAAATCAGGGCAACATTCAACTACAAGAAGTATGCTGTAATTTAATAAAATTATTAACTGGCAAACATCTAAATGGGGTAAATTTGTTATGTGTGTAAGAAAGAGTTGATGGTCCTGGTAAAAGGGATGGGGTGGATAATTGTAAGTGGAAGTAACATAAAAGAAAACAAAGTTAAACTCTACTTCAAGTAGATGATCTCACAAAAAGTTCAGACCAACATTTATAAAAGAAATGAGGGTTGATATATGAGAAAAATGTGCATGAACAATGTGATGCAGTGCTTGGTAAAAACAAAGACATTTCCGTTTTCAAACTTGTGAATTAGAATATGTTTATGTATTTTGATGTCTCTAAAAGAGTATCTTTCACATACAATAGGAAATTGATTAACACCTAAAACGGATTAAATGACTGAAAAAAGGTGGCTTTTAGGTTTCTCTTTAGAGCCCCTTATTTCCACTCTTAACTAAACATCTATTTAAAATGCTGTCCCTCTTTATTTGATACTGAAAGAGATGAACAAAAATTATACTCCACCCTTAGTTGTGAAATATGTCAGAGTATTGATCATTGTAGTAAAGGCAATTCTTCTTGTCTCTTAATTTGCAAAGCTAATTTGTTTTAATTTGAAGCTTTTTGGATCTGACAATTATTGCCCAAACACTTCATTCTTTCAGCCATCCATATTATATATTCATATGGTTACCAATAAGCAATTCCAATGCATTTTGTTAATCTCTGTTAAAGATCTCTGTTAAAGTTTTTATTTTTCAGAGGCAAAACTTTAAAAACATTATAGATATGTTAGGTTATACAACAAATATTTGAGTTCATTCACTATGTAGGAGAGATAGGGTAATTTCACTGCTACAGCAACCTATGCCCACCCCCCATTAAAGAATGCATAAATACAAAACACATGGTAGGCTATGCTTATTACTCCTATAACAATTTGAACACTAAACTATCATAATCATATATCAATAATTCTGTTTATAGTACAATTCAATGATCAATGATAAAAATTCACACCATTCTTTCTCGACTACAAATTCATGAAAAAAAATCAATAAAAGGCTGCACAAAAAAAGGAACATAAATATAAGATAGCATTAAACATAAGCAAATCAAGCTACTTGTATCTAACACAGTTCTCTAAATTGAATCTGTTTGAACATAGAAAAGCAAATAATTACAACACCATAACCATCAAAAACTAGTAAAGTCTAGTAAAGTTAACAAGGTCTAACAGTAAGTAAATGCATCAATACAACAATGATTTGGCAAAAATAAAAATTAAAAAAGAAAAACATAGCTGGTACATGATATGATCATGCAGAATGAAGAAGCACACAGTGATACTACCTGGTGTCTAACTTCCACAAGGAGCTAGATTAACAAACACAATACAATATATAACAACTGATCACATTGACTGGTACAATATCATACATACGTCAGTTGAAAGCTGGTGGAAAATATAGATTATTCAAATCATTGACAGAAACAAATGGGAGTTGCCTGGTTGATTCAAGGGATTGATGGCAAAGAAATGGGAAATCATAGAAATATTACTAAATCACAGATAATGCAATACTTTGACTGTGGATTATGTATGTTTGCTGGGATAAAATAACTGATTAAAAATGAATTATTTGATTCAATACTCTTTCAGTATATAAAATATAATGATAATTATTCACATAAACATCAAAGCAATCAATANCTGAGTACGTCTTGAATGTGCTTGTCTCTGCCTTGCAAGGAAAGACTGTCCTGTGCCGAAATTAGTTAACCTCTCTTCTGCTGCCTTTCTGTGGAGCTTCATTCCCTGAAAAAATGTGAACAATACAGGACATGTTCTTATATGTCATTCTGTGCCATACCATGTAAAAACCTTGAAAAGATTTTTTTTACCTTGACTCTTGTATCTCTGTGAATATACCATGATATATGACGTAAATATTGGTAAGAAATGCAATCTTTTGAGTTATTTCTGTATAATACAGTTCTTTGCAAAACTTTAACTGGTATTGAGGATTTGTATTTTACAGTTTCTTTCTTATTTCAATGTTCACTTACCAAATTATACCAAGCTGTTACTATCAACTTTTCTTCTTGCTCTTTCACAGCCTTAGAACGCTCTTGATCTTTCTGCAAATTCAAATCAGAAATGTTTTATTTTAAGTGAAAATCATATAACTATATCATCTAGTGTCCTGGTTATATTGGTATATCATCCACATCATAAACTTTTGCTTAAAGGCAATTTCTACTCACTTCTAGATGTTCTATTATTCGTTCCTTCTCTTGTAGTTGATTTTTCAAAGCTTGCACCTCTGCAGATGTTCCCTGATTTTGTTTTGGATCCAAGGCCCGAATAACCTACAAATCATATTTCCACATAATTCAGAATATCAATTTCTGAGGTTGTACTAAGTGTTGGCTCATCCAGTACAAAAACAATGTGGTAAAATGTTATGTGTCTTCTAAAAGAATTCTGTATCTATTTTAATATTTTAAAAGCTGTCTCTCTAACATGAAAACCAAGCAGTCAAATACTTCTTTTAAAGCATCAGCTTTTAATTTTCCAACTCTGATTCATGTTCAACTTACACTTTTGGCCTTATCCAGATATTTTTTATATCTTTCTTCCATGTGTCTCATATCATCCTCTTTTTTATTAAGGGCATCTTGCAACTGCTGAATCTTCTCATTACTGGATGCAACGCGTGGCTCAAGTTCATCTAAATGCAGGCGTTTCTTTTGAACTTCCTGCTCAAGTTCTTTATTCTTTTGGATTTGTTCATTAAGTCTTTTCTTGTATTCTGTGGTATTGTCCTCTTTACTGCTGGCAGAACTGGCTGCATTTTCTCTGAGATCCTCAATCTGGGCTTCAAGCTCTAAAATCCTCTGGTTTGCTAGTCTGGAAGCAAAAGATATTAAGGATGTACAAAACAAAACTGCAGTTATATAGATTCAGGAATGATAATCTACAAAAATTTTTTTAAATAGTTATACTTAACACAGACACAATTTTTAAAGCAAATTAAAAACATTCTCTCTTTGACCTAAATCCAACAGATAATTATCCCACAGACAGTAGTCTGGTGCCAATACCTGTTTTCTGTTTCCAGTTCATTGTTTCTAGCTTTGGTGTCTTCCAGCATTGAGGTGACCAGCTGGGCATTCTCATCCTCACTGCCCTCTTTGGACAGTTTCAACATCTTGTTTTCATGTTGTAAACGAATCAATTTTTCTCTAGAAAAAAAAAATGGACACAGAATGAGAGGCATTCAATATATCATAGCAACTGCTGAATTATGTCCACACCTTATAATAAAATGAGGATAATTCAATGTGAGGAGTAGGTGATACGTGGCACATACAGATGGACTCTTACTGGGCAAAATAAATCCTTCAAATAAGAAAAAATTGTGTTACAACATAAATTTCTCGAGGAACTTGCTTTTAAATTCATCTATTTAAGAAAATGACAAGTTTTATCCATTGTTTTTCTAACAATAAAGATTTATACATCTATCTAAAATATTTGTGGAATTTTATCAGAACAGATACTTACTTAATCTCAGGAGGTACACTCAGCATATCTAAGCTGCCCGGTGATGTGGAACGGTCTGATGGACTGCCTGAAAACTCCTCACCTAAAACACAAAATTAAGAATTTTTCATTCTCACATCAAAACATTTCTTGATTGTCCCTTTCTGCTTATTTTGTATTATCTTCATTTTTAAAGAAAAAATATTGCCATTTTTGAAGATACTTTATTAGACAAAATACTAACAAATTCAATTCATAGAGAGAAATAACTTGCTGGTCTATTAGAGATGAAATAACTCATAAAACAGCAAAGATTCTCACCTGTATGTAATACATTTGTTAAGCTCAGCTCTTCATTTGTTTCTCTCAGAGAATCTCTCTCTGTGACTAGCCTCTGAAAGATGATATCATGACTTTGATAGCTGACACAATCATAGCTCAATTACAAATTACAAATACTGTAGTTCAAAATAACTGCCCCCAGTTAAAAAAAAAAAAAAAAAAAAAAAACTCAAGTCAGTTTCAGTGGCTAACATCTTTGTTACCAATGTTACATGGTCACATGCACACATCTTACCCTATCAAGAACAGTGTTACAGCACTCTGATGGACACATGCACACGCCCTAAAAAGGGAACTGACACTGATGTCACTCTAAAATCTTACTTCTTTTTCTCTCTGTAATGACGCCATCTTTTCTTGAGTTCTTTTGGCCTCAAATTCTGCTTTGTCTGCCCTCTTTGTTTCTTCTGAGCTCTTGATCTGCAACTCCTGGACCTGCCTCTTATAAGCATCCAACTGGGTCTTCAAACTAGTGCTCTTTCTCACCTCCTACATTTATATAAAAAACAGTTTAACTTTTAAAAAATAGCATTTCTAGAAATAAAAAAAAAAATGCAGGTTTAACATTAATAACCTTAATTTTTAATTTTCAAGTGAAGAAGCTAAAGAAAATTTATATTAAAGTCACAGATAAACCATGTTTAAAAATGTGGAAGCATTATCAATTTTTCAACTTTTTAATGAACATTCTCAAGAACATTTGTAAAATCAGATCAAAATTGAAGCCTATTATAGTAAACATGCAGCCAAGTAGTCGATAACAGAATAGTTGCTGATATGATATGAAATCTGATGATCTTTTTTTACCTCTTCCAGATCTAAAGACATCTGAACATTGCTCGTGTTCTTTTCCTCCAGCATCTTGACCTGTCTTCTCAGGTCACTCATCTCCTCTGAAAGTAAATTTGTGGTTAGATAGAACTCCATGTTTTTACTATCAAGACACTTCACTGAAAAATACTTTCAATTTCAAAACAAAAGAACATACAAGTCAAGTGCATGTTACACAGAAAGACCACTCCTTAATTCATGGATGCTTTACAAATATTTATGGAAACACATAAATAATGTAACATAACGAAGACACGCAGGTCTAAAGACATCTTAAAAATGGCAGTTTCTACTTACCTAGTTTTTTCTTGTATGATTCTATAGTTGTTTCATATCTGATCTGTAACAAGCAAACAGAAATATGCAATGTAATTACACACACAAAAATCTATATTTACTTTATTTTGTGCCTTATATTTGAAATATCAACTTAAAAAGGTATTATTTAGATCTGCGATTTTACATTTCTCTGACAAACTTACCACTTTATCAGAAGTGTGCCTGAGAACATCTAGCTCATCCTTCAGTGTCCTGGCTTCTTCTGCTAAAGAACTCAACTCATCATTCTGCAATTTCAAAAATAAATAAATAAATAAAGTATAATAAGCAAATGTGACACCTCTCATCATACTTAGACAATTTAAATTTCTTTTTGATACAACAGTGATATTATATTGAGAAAAAATATGATAAGGAGAAATGATGATTCAGGAACTGCAGACTATGTTCAAAGTAACTTGCCTTCTGTTTTTGGTCTTGCAGCTCTTTCTCCAACAGCTCAATTTTAATCTTGTGGTCATCTCTCACTGTAATTCAGAACAAAGATTCACGACAAGGTAAACAACTAACCTTGTTTAACTTCCAATTTTAATTTAAAATTATTAAAACAATAGTAATAATGTGTGTTTATAATGGTGCTGGCATTTATACACCCTATTTTCAGTGGTTATCTTTCTTCACAGATGAATAGATTTTATTTCCTAAATTATTTTGTTTAATTTGAAGCTTTTTAGAAGTGACAACTACTGGCTAACCATTTTAGAGGTTTGTATTTTTAGGAGTATAAACATTACAACAGACAACAATTCTGTACACAAAGTATACTTCTTAAAAGCTAAATATACATTCAAAAATTCAATAATAAACCAATTAATTTGAAATCTTTTAAACATTTATAAGTGCTAATTGTACTGCAGAATAAATACCTGTTTCTGCTCTGAACAGTTCCTCCTGAAGTTGTTCTACCTGGTTCTGAAGATTCTGGAACCTTCTCCCAGCTGGGGTGCTGCAATATACATAGAGATCTTTATAAGTTATCTTTGTATCATCATGTGTCATAACATCCACATTCAATTCACCATATTATATAAAATATTTTAAATACTCCACCTTTTCAAAATCTTTTAAGATCACTTTCTGGCTTAAGTGAAAATGATACCCGTAATACTTTTAATTACGCAAATCAGGGTAACATTCAACTACAAGAAGTATGCTTTAATTTAATAAAATTATTAACTGGCAAACATCTAAATGGGGTAAATTTGTTATGTGTGTAAGAAAGAGTTGATGGTCCTGGTAAAAGGGATGGGGTGGATAATTGTAAGTGGAAGTAACATAAAAGAAAACAAAGTTAAATTCTATTTCAAGTAGATGATCTCACAAAAAGTTGAGAACAACATTTATAAAAGAAATGAGGGTTGATATATGAGAAAAATGTGCATGAACAATGTGATGCAGTGCTTGGTAAAAACAAAGACATTTTCCGTTTTCAAACTTGTGAATTAGAATATGTTTATGTATTTTGATGTCTCTAATAGAGAACCTTTCACACATAATAAGCAATTGATTAACACTTAAAAGGGATTAAATGACTGAAAAAAGGTGGCTTTTAGGTTTCTCTTTAGAACCCCTTATTTCCACTCTTAACTAAAATTCTATTTAAAATGCTGTCCCTCTTAATTTGATACTGAAAGAGATGAAAGAAAATTATACTCCACCCTTAGTTATGAAATATGTCAGAGTATTGATCATTGTATTAAAGGCAATTCTTTTTGTCTCTTAATTTGCAAAGCTATTTTGTTTTAATTTGAAGCTTTTTGGATCTGACAATTATTGTCCAAACACTTAATTCTTTCAGCCATTCACATTATATACTCATATGGTTATCAATAAAGCAATTACAATGCACTTTGTTAATCTCTGTTAAAGATCTCTGTTAAAGTTTTTATTTTTCAGAGGCAAAACTTTAAAAACATTATAGATATATTAGGTTATACAACAAATATTTGAGTTCATTCACTATGTAGGAGAGATAGGGTAATTTCACTGCTACAGCAACCTATGCCCCCCCCCCCCCCCAATTAAAGAATACATACATACATAAATACAAAACACATAGTAGACTATGCTTATTACTCCTATAACAATTTGAACACTAAACTATGATAACCAAATACCAGTAATTCTGTTTACAGTACAATTCAATGATCAATGATAAAAATTCACACCATTCTTTCTTGACTACAAATTCATGAAAAAAAAATTGATAAAGGCTGCACAAAAAAAGGAACATAAATATAAGATAGCATTAAACATAAGCAAATCAAGCTACTTTTATCTAACACAGTTCTCTAAATTGAATCTGTTTGAACATAGAAAAGCAAATAATTACAACACCATAACCATCAAAAACTAGTAAAGTCTAGTAAAGTTAACAAGGTCTAACAGTAAGTAAATGCATCAATACAACAATGACTTGGCAAAAATAAAAATTAAAAAAGAAAAACATAGCTGGTACATGATATAATCATGCAGAATGAAGAAGCACACAGTGATACTACCTGGTGTCTAACTTCCACAAGGAGCTAGATTAACAAACACAATACAATATATAACAACTGATCACATTGACTGGTACAATATCATACATACGTCAGTTGAAAGCTGGTGGAAAATATAGATTATTCAAATCATCAACAGAAACAAATGGGAGTTGCCTGGTTTATTCAAGGGATTGATGGCAAAGGAATGGGAAATCATAGAAATGTTACTAAACCACAGATAATGCAATACTTTGACTGTGGATTATGTAAGTTTGCTGAGATAAAATAACTGATTAAAAATGAATTATTTGATTCAATACTCTTTCATTATATAAAATATAATGATAATTATTCACATAAACATCAAAGCAATCAATAATAATAATAATAATAACCAATAATAATGGGCAAATTTCAATTGCAAGTTTTAGGTGGGCCTTCTTAAGTCTGGTTGGAACCCAGTTTTTTTCAACAGTTGTATACCTGAACTGAAAACCAGACTAAAAATGGACTAAAACCATGGATGTGAAATCAGCCCATTATTTGTTATTATCTTTTTCATCAGACCTGACCTTTCTCCATTGCCCTATTAAGGTAAAAGAGGTACTTTCATTGAACTATTATTGTAACCTATTTCTTTAACATCTGTTTTCAATAAAACATCTATTTTTGGCAAAAACCTTGTACTGAAATAAATGTTTTTAGCTGTAATAACTTTACTCTTGCTGTGTATGTTGCTTACCTTGGATCTTCCAGGTTTTCTCCTCTGTTGAGCTTGTCAAGTAATCTCTCATTTTCAGCAATGATGCTGGACTTTTCTTCTTGCAGTGCTGCCACCTATTGTGCAGAGAAATAATTAATTCTTTATCATACATTTAAAATTTGGCAAAACAATACCATGGGTTGGTATTTTCCTTCAATGGAGATATTCTATCATTCTCCTTACTTAAACTACTTATCTTTTCACATTTTTATTTTTACAAAACTATTCCTGCATCACTACATTTGCCACAGTTATACATATCAATCGTTCTTACCTGAAGGTCTAGCTCATGGCACCTTTGAGCCATTTCTTCCTTAGCCTCCATAACGCTGTTTAACTCTTCAACGGATTTTTTTAACTGAATGAAAAGGTTATTATATTTAATTATCATGAACAAGTTAACAATTAGATAATAATTTATAAACAAGGTGAATTTTCATACAAAATAGTACAAAGCTGATGCCATGGCATTCAGCTTTTGAAGAGCAGATTGAGAAAAGTTTACCTGCATGATTGATATAAGAGTTACAAACATAACTTCTGTTTTCTATCATTATCTCCCCAGCAAATACTTAAGTGTCTTACTTGTTCTGCTATCTCTGAGTAAGCTTCTCCTTGGCTGGCAGGTGTCTCTTTCTGCATTAGCTGAAAGCAAAATCAGAACACAATAACACCAAGTTACATTAACATATGAAGTGAAAAAATATTTTAAAAATACAAACAGCCTGTTGCTACTCACAGCTGATAGAGCAACACACAGAACTCAATATCATACCCAGCATAATATGTGCTACTAGCATTGACTCATCTGACTGCCTAAGATTATACTGGAACAAAACAGAAATAGTAGCTCAGTGCAGAAACAGTGGTCAGCAACCTACCAAACTGACAAAATATTACAAGCCTGGAATAAATTTTGGCAAATGACTAGTGGTAATCATCAAAGACTGGCATAATCCCGTTCAAACACAACCTCACACCTAACGCAATGCTCACCTCCTGAATAGCATTCATGACCACATGCTGTACTGACTCCTCCATGCCCATAATTCTCTGGATGTATTCCTGCTTCTCCTCACAGTTGACAGCACAGCCTAGGATCAGCTGTAATAGCCGACCAAGTTCCTTCTCATCTGCTCGCTCACCTGAAAGAAATTTGATCAAAGATATTGTAACCATCTTTTTAGCAAAAATATCCAAAATTTGAAACAGAGATTGAGATTGGAGATAGAGATTGGATTGAAATTTTTGTGGTAGGAGATATAGTAATTAAAATATTCCACGATCACATACACACACATAAACTTTATGGTGTCAATTGTAGGGCAAGAAAATAAAACCAAACAAACAGGCCATGGTAAAAAAATAAAAACAGACAAACAAAAACACCAACCTGAATGCTCATATATATTACATTCAAATGCATGGTCAGGGGCAAATAAATAAATAAATAGCAGGTGTTAAAATTTTGTTCATGGATTATGAATGTGTGCCTGCCTCTACCCATCTTTTATCCAAAATCAAAAGAAACCAATAATTTGAATTGATACAGTGTTCTTACCTATTGCATTGACATCTGGCATGTGGAAGTCTGTGATCTGCTGCCCTAGCACCTTAACAAGAGAGAAATCATGATATTATTACAGGCTGTTGGTATCTCTGCAGAGAGTTAATATTTACATTGAAGACATAGACAATGAAAATACTTCACACAAATAATTGTTTAGGATCAACCATGATAGTTATTAGACTAAGAATCATTAATTCATGTATCCTGGTAGTTTGGTAAATAACAATAATCCAAATAAAAATCTGGATTAAAGTAACTAAATGTACTTCAATACACAAGTCTAAATTATACCAAGTTTAAACTTGTTATCCATAATAATAACTATTTAGACCCGCTTAATTATCTGCTGGTATTCTCTGATTGACAAAGCATGAATAAATATACTCAAAATTCATGATCATCATCATCTTACCTCTGCATAGTATTCCAGTATTCCTTTGAGTATTTTCTTGAGATTACTGACCTGGAGTGATAACAAAACAGGAAATTGAGAATGTAGCATAAGACACTTTTGTTTCAAAACAGAAACAGGCCACACCTAATCAAGGTTAAGCTGACAATAAAGATTTTAAACCATGAAATTTAAAAATACTGCTTTGAAGTATCCAACTACTTTTATTGAAGTGCATAAAGTGATAAATGGAAGTTTATCATATGATAATGAGTATTAAGATATTGATTGATTTTACCTTCAATCTCCAATTACTTTCTACATCAGTTTTGATCTTTGACATCCATGTCTCACTGAAAAATGCTGGGGCTCTGAAATATGAAACATGTTATGTTAAGGCTATAAGATGATACACTAATTTTTCAAAGCCTTCTGAACAGCATAATATTCCTTTTCATTTATACATTTTTGTACCCATTCATTTTTTAGTATCACTCTAACCAAATCTACTTTGCTTCATTTCACAAGTATAGTCTATTGCTGGCATAACACACCATCATTTTAAGAAATGCAATAAGTATATCACAAATACTTACATTTGATGTAAAACATGTGACATGAGCACTCCATCTGTCAGGTCAGTGTTGGGGACATCTATATTAAATGTTCGCACCTGAAAACAGGACAGAGACATATCAAGTTATTTTATTAATACAATTATAATAAGCTATTAATTCAAATGTGGCTCGTATGCATGGCAGTATTTCAAAGATCATACATTGCACTGTGTATAGATCTTTTTTAAAACTATAACCAGACCAGCATAAGTCCATGAGTGGCCAACAACCTCACATAAGTGACATGTTCAATCAATAATAATAACAAAATTTATTACTTGTAACTACATCATAAATATAAAATAATTTACGAGAAAATCAAATATATACCCAATGCTTTGAAATGGTACTTTATTTCCAGGACGCGTATTGACTTATAAACTGCACCTTGTCACTCTCAACCACTGGCAGAGTGGATATGTAGAAAGTTGGCAAAAGTCGTTTGTAGCACTGGCAATGCAAATCGACTTAATTGATATTCGACACACCCCACGTATGTGTCTTCTGGTGGTGACCAAATTTATACTTACCCAAATTGAAAGACTTTCGGATAGATGCTCCTTGTCCATGGTGGAAATTAACAACTCCAATCAATGAACAAAGAGTTTTAATTATAAAAACAGATGTAGTTTTTCCACAGGCAAATTCTTTCAACTGACAGGAAATTCACTAAATGTGCTATAGCGCATGTGCAATAGATATCAAGTCGAGACTACACAGTTTCCGGTATTGTTCCTGGAGCCTTTCGTTTTCAATTTCAGAACCTTTTGTGTCGCTTCTATTGCCTTTCTACGCAAAGGATAAGTACTTTGGATGGATGCAATGGCAGATGACGAAGATGGCGTGACTAAAAGCCCCCCTGCCTTGAATGACAGGGAAACAAATGAAGCAATTGAACACCTTGGGCCGGGCACAATTATTGAAGGCATTGGAGACGATGTTATGATGGGGATGTTTGTGTTCATCGCAGTTGTTAGTGTAATTGTCGGCTATGCAATGTACTGGTAAATATGAAACTCCTTCTGTTGTATTCAAATGTCTGTCAGGTTATATCTAAACCAGTTGTCAATTTTTGAAAAGAAAGTTGTTAAAACAAAGTCACAGTTTTTATTTCTGTTTAGTAGTTGATTTTTATCCATTTCTTTTTCTTTTTTGGTGGGGGGAGGGGGCAGGGGGATGCACACTTGAAGTGAAAAAGGGGACTATAATATAACATGTCAACATATTAGATAACAAGTAAACTGTCATGTACCAACTCCTTTTGGTACAAACAATTTGAGGCAGTGGCAACTGTATACTGAGTATAATAAGAACAGAAACACAAAATGAGCAAGAATGTTCATTAGCTTGGTAGTTGGATATACATGAAAATTCTAAAATACAAGCCTAAAAATTTCCGTACCATTAGCTTATGACCAACCTGTTCAAAGGCCTTCTTCAGACCAATGTGAGTAGTTGTTCACACTCACTGACTGCTAGGTGGTACTAGTATAGTGGTATGGACATTTTTAGGCTTGTGTTTTAGAATTTCATGTATAGAAACAAAAAAATTAATAAAATGGAATATTAAAAGTTTTGATAAATATTAAAGAGACAACAGATATATACCATTAGATACATGCTATTAATCATTTTCTATCTGGTAACAGGTACAGACAGAGAACAACAGTAAGACAGACAATTCACCCAGAGAGTCAGCAAAATGTAGAAGATGCCAGACAGAGGATGCAGAGACAAAGGCTACGAGATCAGAACTGGCAAGGGAGGAGAAGTGCAAATCCTAGGCAAGGAGATATTACCTGTCCTATATGCCTGAATGATGCCAACTATGCAATAGAAACCAACTGTGGACACACATTTTGTGGTATGGATATTAATAGTGGTGTATTTAGATAATTTCTAATGACACTCAAGTTAGATTAGTATACTTTTTTCAGACATTTCAATGTAAAATTCATCAGTTAACAAAATTACACCAAATATTATCATTAAATGCACACATTTAAAGAAACCATTTATTTTATTTTCACAACATTGTTATTTTTACAGGACAGTGCATAATCACTTATTGGCGCCATGGTTCATGGCTTGGTGCTGTGAGATGTCCAGTTTGTAGACAACAGGTAACCAAGTCTTTATTATTATTATTATTATTATTATTATTATTATTATTGTTTTATTGTTGTTGTTTTTTTTTGTAAATATTTAAAGTTAAGTGTCACTGGGAATCTGTGTTAGGATAGATGTCTTCTTGATTTGTCTGACTCTATACTTTCATCAGCTTCATTTTCACATGTTACTATTGTAACAGGTATGTCGTCAGAGTTTCTTGTACCTTTAGTAAGAAGTTGTTTTCAGTCTTTAGCTCTCTACAGCCCTGATCACTTTGCCAGATCTCTGACCTTTGTCCTTAAGAGATGTTTTAATTTCTGAGTCTTGTTACTTCAGGTGACAATATTACTGTTCTCATTCAGTGAGGCAGAGGTGCATCAGGAGGTAAACGAAGACATAAGGGAAATCACTAGTGAAATTAATTCTTATAATAGAAGATTCTCAGGAGAACCAAGACCTGTAAGTTAATAGACAACAGTCATTTTTATGTTGTCATTTTAACTTTATTATTTTTTTTCNAAAACTATAACCAGACCAGCATAAGTCCATGAGTGGCCAACAACCTCACATAAGTGACATGTTCAATCAATAATAATAACAAAATTTATTACTTGTAACTACATCATAAATATAAAATAATTTACGAGAAAATCAAATATATACCCAATGCTTTGAAATGGTACTTTATTTCCAGGACGCGTATTGACTTATAAACTGCACCTTGTCACTCTCAACCACTGGCAGAGTGGATATGTAGAAAGTTGGCAAAAGTCGTTTGTGGCACTGGCAATGCAAATCGACTTAATTGATATTCGACACACCCCACGTATGTGTCTTCTGGTGGTGACCAAATTTATACTTACCCAAATTGAAAGACTTTCGGATAGATGCTCCTTGTCCATGGTGGAAATTAAAAACTCCAATCAATGAACAAAGAGTTTTAATTATAAAAACAGATGTAGTTTTTCCACAGGCAAATTCTTTCAACTGACAGGAAATTCACTAAATGTGCTATAGCGCATGTGCAATAGATATCAAGTCGAGACTACACAGTTTCCGGTATTGTTCCTGGAGCCTTTCGTTTTCAATTTCAGAACCTTTTGTGTCGCTTCTATTGCCTTTCTACGCAAAGGATAAGTACTTTGGTTGGATGCAATGGCAGATGACGAAGATGGCGTGACTAAAAGCCCCCCTGCCTTGAATGACAGGGAAACAAATGAAGCAATTGAACACCTTGGGCCGGGCACAATCATTGAAGGCATTGGAGACGATGTTATGATGGGGATGTTTGTGTTCATCGCAGTTGTTACTGTAATTGTCGGCTATGCAATGTACTGGTAAATATGAAACTCCTTCTGTTGTGTTCAAATGTTTGTCAGGTTATATATAAACCAGTTGTCAATTTTGGAAAAGAAAGTTGTTAAAACAAACCCATAGTTTTTATTTCTGTTTAGTAGTTAATTTTTATCCATTTCTTTTTCTTTTTTTTTTTTTTTATTTGGGGGAAGGGGCAGGGGGATGCACACTTGAAGAGAAAAAGGGGACTATAATGTAACATGTCAACATATTAGATAACAAGTAAACTGCCATGTACCAACTCCTTTTGGTACAAACAATTTGAGGCAGTGGCAACTGTATACTGAGTATAATAAGAACAGGAAACACAAAAATTAATAAAATGTATAATTAAAAGTTTTGATAAATATTAAAGAGACAACAGATATATACCATTATATGCATGCCTTTAATCATTTTCTTTCTGGTAACAGGTACAGACAGAGAACAACAGTAAGACAGACAATTCACCCAGAGAGTCAACAGAATGTAGAAGATGCCAGGCAGAGGATGCAGAGACAAAGGCTACGAGATCAGAACTGGCAGGGGAGGAGAAGTGCAAATCCTAGGCAAGGAGATATCACCTGTCCTATATGCCTGAATGATGCCAGCTATGCAATAGAAACCAACTGTGGACACACATTTTGTGGTATGGATATTAGTAGTGGTGTATTTAGACAATTTCTGATGACACTCAGGTTAGATTAGATTAGTATACTTTTTTCAGACATTTCATTGTAAAATTCATCAGTTAACAAAATTACACCAAATATTATCAATAAATGCACACATTTAAAGAAACCATTTATTTAATTTTCAAAACACTGTTATTATGCTGAATGGTTCTGAGGTTGAAATAGTCAGACATTTCAAATTTCTTGGCATACATATATCTAATGATCTTAAATGGCACATTAACATAGATGAAATTGTCTGTAAAGTTCAGCAAAGACTTTACTTTCTGCGGCGATTGAGGTCATTCTATGTTACCAAGAACTGCTGGCAAAATTGTACAAGGCAGTGATTGAGAGTGTACTAACACAATCTTTCACCGTATGGTACAGTAGTGCTACAGCAGAGGACAAGAATTGCCTCAATCGCGTAGTAAAAACTGCCAGGCGCATTGTAGGTAGGGACTTGCCGTCAATTGAATGTTTGTATATGAGACGGGTGCTCAAGAAAGTGAAGTCAATCACGGGTGACCTTGGTCACCCAGCGAATAGCCTACTTATGCATATGTCATCAAGCCGACTACGGTCATTAAAAGCAACCTCCACGCGCACTAGTTTTTATCCATCAGCAGTACGTATTTTTAATGAACAAAATGTATTTTAATAATTCCATTGTATTACATTTTATCGACAGATCATACCAATTTTCATTTTATACTTATATAAATATGACAATAAATTATTATTATTATTATTATTTACAGGACAGTGCATAATCACTTATTGGCGCCATGGTTCATGGCTTGGTGCTGTGAGATGTCCAGTTTGTAGACAGCAGGTAACCAAGTCTTATTACTATTATTATTATTATTATTGTTTTTCTTGGAATCTGTGTTATGATAGATGTCTTCTTGATTTGTCTGACTCTATATTTTCATCAGCTTCAATTTCACGTTTATATTGTAACAGGTATGTCATCAGAGTTTCCTGTACCTTTAGTAAGAAGTTGTTTTCAGTCTTTAGCTCTCTACAACCTCACTTTGATCACTTTGCCAGATCTCTGACCTTTGTCCTTAAGAAATGTTTTAATATCTGAGTCTTTTTTTCTTCAGGTGACAATATTACTGTTCTCATTCAGTGAGGCAGAGGTGCATCAGGAGGTAAACGAAGACATAAGGGAAATCACTAGTGAAATTAATTCTTATAATAGAAGATTCTCAGGAGAACCAAGACCTGTAAGTTAATAGACAACAGTCATTTTTATGTTGTCATTTTAACTTTATTATTTTTTCTAGTTTTAAATATTATGAAAATTGTATAAAAAGATCTCAGAAAGTAATTTTTTACCTTTTATCTAGTTTCAGATGTGGTTTTGTGCATAAATACTCTATTTGCTTTGAATGAATCATGTCCTCTGCTTCCAAACTTTCCTCAAATATTCGCAGTTTAATATCATCATCAAAACCATATTGAGATTATTGAAAAAAAAAACCAATTTTGTTTGTATTCTTATATTTCAGTTGATGGACTATATCAGAGATCTTCCAACTCTACTCCGCCATGCATTTTCAGAATTCTTTTCACTTGGAGGACTAGTGTGGATGTTTCGTCTCAGAATATTTCTTGTATTTGTAGCTGCAATTTTGTATTTTATTTCACCACTGGATATCATACCAGAGTCTGTCTTTGGATTTGTAGGCTTTTTAGATGACTTATTCATAGTTTTGCTACTCATGATCTATATAACTGTCATATATAGGAATTTTGTTGAACACAGAGCTCAGCAAGCTCAGGCTCAGCAAGCAAGGTCACAATGATGCAGCACTGTAAAAGATACATACGCAGGCTTTATTCTTCAAAATTTTTATTCTATGAGCTCTTGTCTCTGGATGCATATTATTATTAGTAAATGTCACTAGAAACTTCCAAAACACTCGTGCTCTTTGAAATCACATACTCTTCAGGGTGCCAAAGTTGAAAGTGTAAAATCTAAAGTTAGGTGTTAATCTTTGTAGTCTTACTGAATGTCATTAACTTATTTGGTTAAAAAAGTAGTTTAGAAAAAATGCTACCATTTTTATTCAAACTGAGGTCTGCACAGTGAAAAAATTAGTTATTAAATAATGATATTGTGCAGCACTGTATTTTGTCATATATGCCCATGTGCTTGATTTTTCATTGTTAAGTTTACATTAGAAAGATTTTTTATTATTTATAAGTAAACATTTTATTTATTTGTTATAAGTCTATATTTTTGTTTATTTTATTATTATTATTAATTATTATTTGAATTGTTTCTTCCTGAAATAAAATATGAAATAAATGCAAGTTCAAGTCGATATTTACTAGTCAAAGGATAATATAAAAGATGCTGTAAAAATAGTTTAAAACCACCAGAAAAAATTCCCATTGCCTGATCAGACTAATCAGGTTATTTTTATGTTTTCTTGCCTGACATTGAATCTGTTTGTTTACAAATGAATGTGCTTTATGTATGGCTATTTATCTAAGGTTTTAAGGAATTGCTAAGTGCAATTATTTTTATATTCCAAGACCTTAGCCAGGGAAAAATACATCATTGTTTGTCATAATGCTTTTATGCTTGTTTCATCTGAAATATAATCAATTTGAATATATGTATGACACTTCATACATAATAAAGAGTTTCTTGTTTTTCTCTTTCAACCTTTAGTCTCTTTAATCATACAAGTAATTCCGAGGAACTTAAAATTTACTGAATAAATCTATTGGTCAACACCAGTGTACACAACATTTCACAAACATGCACTGAACTAGTTTTACTGTGGCCGTGGTTTTAATGTTGAGCATAATGTGCATCTTGGAAACCTCTGTTGACACTATCTGCTGCATCTCCAAAAAATGACCAAGCCCATGAACAAATACAGATCAAGAAAACTTACCAAGCCATCTTTTGTGAATACTTTGGGGCCAAAACGAGGGGAGATTTTGGTATATGGTGTGGAAAAGTAATAGTTTTGTAAAATATTGGTAGTTTTGTAAAAAAAAATTATTTTAAAAAATGATACGGTTCACATTGCAGTGCGTCTTGGAACCTTGGTTGGAGGCATATATGTAGTATCGACGCAAAGTTTTGTCTTTTTTATTACCTGGAAGAGCGAAGTTTGAAGATAGTCCCAACTTTTATTCGTTGCTGTGGCAGAAATGTCAAAATGGATTGATCAAGGAGGTACGTGCCATTTTGTAATAATTTTATACATCGTTATATGTTGTATATATTAATTTTTAGAATGAAGGAGTTCTCAAATTCAATTGCACCGTCACCAATGTCATTCATGCCATCATGGTGACGTATTTTGATGTCACCTTCGTCATAACTAAATTTCTTTACTTGTGCTTGTTACTAAGAAAGCAATTCAAGTCTATTAACATCCATTTGTCCACTTTGTTGTCTTAAAAAATGTATCTTGTACCAGAAAAATAATTGAAGACGTTGCATTAGTGGAATTATAATTAACATTATAACAATGCTGAATGTGATTTTAATAACATAAACAAGCTCTCTCCAATGATGTATGAACGACGTGAAGTTGATTAATTTCAAAGGTTGCACTGCAGAGAACACTTTAGATCAATATTTAATCACCTGAGACCTGTCTGCAGGCACTCCACGTTATCTCACACCACATTCTAATTCATTGATTTCTTATTTCTGATTCAGTATCAAATATTTATAACTAGCAAGCTATAGTGTTGTGGTTTTCAGAAAGTTGGGCTGTTAACACCATCCTTTGAATTGTTTTTGAAATATTTTTATTGTCAAATTCACAATGTTGTAGGTACGAAAGAAAAAATATAACTGCATGTACATGGGCATGGATAAAAAATAAATGTGCATACATTATACATATCATGAATAACTTGATATAAACTGTCAGTAAATACACCATATCTTTCCAATTGTAGAGAACACTGCAGTTGGGGCCTGTAAGGAAGAAGCAACATGGCAGACTGGACTTCTCTGGGTAGACAGGCGAGCCCAGGGACTCAGGATTTCCTTGCCCTGTATGCCAGCAAGTCAAGAACTCCAGCACATCTAATGAATGGCCACCAATCGTCCCCTGATATCCCATTACAAATAGGCATACATGCCAGGTCTGGAGCTTTGAAAAATGGAGCTGTTTCAACTGGTCCAGCATTTTTTAATGGCAGAGGGGATAAGGTTGATCCTTTTTTGACTCTACCACAGAGGTTTAGCACTAGTGGAAATGTGGTGTTTTGTGACAGAGATAATGTGGACGACTGCATTTCGTACCTGAATCAGGTAAGTGTTGAGCTGGTTTTGGATATAGTTTGTGACCTAAAGAGCAATGTATATTGAAATAGGGGGAGATACTGAAACAGTTTATCTGTTTATTTAAAATAATTTTATCAGTTTTTCTTTATAACATGGGAAAAACTTGATTTCATTTTAATGTAGTCTAAGACCTCGGGTATTTTCATATGAGGACTGTATGCTTTAAAGACTAACATTGCTTTACATTTTGAGCAATTTCTAAATAATATCCAAATAATGATTCTTTTATAACAGAGTTTATAGATAATCAAGCTACAGTAGATAAATCAAGCTAAGTAAGATAAATCTCTCTTACAAATTTACACCTGACTTATTTTGACCTAGGAAAACTATTCTCTCTCCCAAATAGAGCTATGTTCACCCACTAGCATGCATCTCATGTTGCAACATATTTGGTCAACATAGTTCTTTATGTGCAGGAATCATAAAATTGCAATTGACTAAGCTAAATTTTCATTGATTGTGTTTTGTGGTTATTGGATATGCTTGTGATAGAAAAGTGATAGTCTCTGAGATATAAAGCAAAAATTAATGTCCATATCAAATGACAATTTTTTATACCTGGGTAAACATGTTTATTTGCTATTACTTTTTATGGGGTAAAAGCAATGAGCTGCATGCATGCTGCAGTGAGTTTTTTGGTCTTCCCAAAGCTGTGGTGATAAGGTCTTGACTGAGCCTGAAAGTGAATGCTTTCAGCAAATGATACATGTACCCTTGTCCTTGAGTCTTATGATAAGGTTTGAATAACATAATGCCGATCTACATAATGAATGTTACTTGCTGTTTTATCACAGTTTTGCTGTGGTTTTGAGAATTTAGTTTTTGGACTTCACGTTAACTCTTTTTGTTATGTTCTGTTTTTATGTCAGCATTATCAATAATTTATGGTTTTGTTGTTAAGACATGTCTAGGAACATTCTAGATTTAGAGTAAGTTCAAAGGCACTCATTCATTCAGCTTGATACTCAAAAAAAGTCTTTGCTGTAGTTTTGGTTACAAGCTTTGTTTTATTGGTAAAGTGTTACACTTAATGTGCAGCATTCCATTTAAGCTGGCCCACTGTAGTTCATTTGTATGTGGTGTTGTCATGGTAACCCCAAAATATACAAAAAAGGAGGACAAGATCTAGTCCACAAATCACACAATGACAGAATGATTATTTTCAACTTGGGGTAAATTGTAGAAGAGCACGATAAACCAACATTTAAATAAGAAAAGAAGTTTTGAAACTTGAGAGGCCTCCCTGGGTCTTAAACTATTGAATTTAGAACTGTGCTGTTATTGTGAGAATGCCCCTGGGAGTTCAGGTCAATAGAAGTAAAGCAAAATTTTCTCATTTAAGTGATAAAAGGGGTCATTTGTTAGTTTTTTTTATAAGTAAAGCAAAATAAATATTTTTTGATGTTCTATATTAAAGAATTTACAGAGTAAAGTAGGTTTAATCCAGGGCATAAAGGAAAACTAAAGAAAAAGATTCTAGTGTGGTTGTATCTATACACGTTAATGTTTGTTGTCCACTATCTTTGATGAAGTAGAACGTCCATTTCATTTTTGCTTCACGTTTCCTTAGCTTATTACCTCATTGCCCCAATTCTTTTTTTCATTTTCTGAAATCGAAATATGATTCAAAGCCAAATTGCTTAATTTTATTTATTTTTTTTCATTATTTATTTATTTATTTATTTTTATTTTATTCTATTTTTTTTTTGTAGATATTTCATCCATTATCTCAAGTGAAAGAATTTCACATAAACCTAGTTTAAACCTAGTCCATAAAAGTAGGCTAAAATGAGGGTAAAACTCAATCAAAACTAGACAGAATTCCATGTGTCTATAAACAGTACTTTGTGTAGTCTAGGTAACTTTTCCTATATTCTTCAGGAGCTGACAACTCTCGGTTTCCCTTCCTTATACCATGAAACCTCTGACACGTTTGATATTGTAAGACTGGTGAACAACACATATGAACTGTTGCAACTGCAGCAGAAGAGTTTGAGAGTGAAAGAACAGTTAGAGGACAGGTAAAACATTTTTTTAAATTTCTGAATGGGAACTCTTTACATATGACAGAATGGTTAAATATTTCTAAAACAATGTATATTTAAATTAAATATGATTATTTAAAATATGCTATAAAAGAATGGGTTTTGATAGAAATCTTAAATACTAAATTCCTGCATTTGTACACATATGTTTGTGTAAATAGCAGTCTGTCTGACAGTTTGAATATGTTGTTTGCAAAGAAATCCTCATCACCTGGGGTAATGTGTCAATCCACTTGTCTCTAAAACAGAAGATTATGATATCATGTCACTTGAAAGAAATATAAAAAACCTTGAATGATTATGCATCAGCAATCTAAAAATCTGAATCTCATCAACACAGCACTGACACATTTCTGAATAACAATCAATAAGTTATGTTTTTTGTGTTTTCTTTTTTTTCCAGACAACAGAGGTCAGAGAGTGACCTGTCCCACCTCCAGTCCACCCAGAACAGACTGAAGGACTCCCTGGAGCAGTATGAGAGGGAGATCTCCCAGTCCCAGGAGAGGGAGAGACAGCTAGTCAGTAAAAATAAGGTGCTTAGCAAGAAGGTGAAAGCAGAGAAGGAAGAGGTGAGTAGATAAACTGGGAGTTTTTTTTATTTATATTTCATTTTATTTAGTCATCTCATTATTTATTTATTTATTTTGATATCTAACAAGTGGGGTAATTACAAAAATATTGTATAAGTTGTTTGTAACATTTGCTGAATCCAATTCCTTTGATTATAATTCATCAGTTAAACATTAACATTTAATAAGATATTTGTTACTTCTATGTATTAGTTGTAAATGTAATCATCAACATGTTACTATGCTCTATTTGTTCCATATAGGTTAAAAAACTGCAGTCTGCGTTAAGTCATAAAGATGTGCAATACAAACATGAAGTGAAGAAGAAAGAAAGGGAACTTAACAGACTGAAAGACAGACTGAACCAGCTTCTCACCGACAGAAGCCAGGAGAGAAGAATAGGTAAAATGTTTAACCAGGAAAAGTATGGCAAGTCATCAGTGATTTAACAATTCTCAAGGGTTATTGTAATTGCTTTTATGGAATGGTTTACAATTGCATCTTTTCATAAATCATTAGTTTTAGGAAGAATGGACACTAATGTCAAAAAGATGTTTACTTTACATAAAACCTTTAAATATGTTGAATATATAATTTTTTACTTTTGTTGTACCTGTTAAATAAATTGCAGGAATGGAAATTTTGAACTCACTCCAAAGAGCTGATGGCAAAAGAAGTACATGGAAAACCAAAACCAGCAACAACAAGTATGCAAATGAGAATTTTTGTTTTTCTGATCCCATTTTTACCATTTTTAAATTTCTTTAAAAGAATATTCACAACTGTAAAGCAACAGTAACTGTTGCTTTACAGTTGTGAATATTCTTTTAAAGAAATGATTTTGATGATTTTTGAATATGATTTTTGAAATGATTTTGATGATTTTTGAATATTCTTTTAAAGAAATGATTTTAATGATTTTTGTTCAAAATATATTTTTGATTTACTATGCCACAAGAAGGATATTTATTAATCAGTAATATTACATTATGGGAAAATGTTGATTAATCAGATATTTGATGACCTGTTCCAGACACGAAGAAGACATGTACAGACTTATAGTGGCTAACTATGAAGACAAACAGAGAGAACTACTGGTAGAAAATGGTCAGTTACGGCAGTGCTTGAATGACATGCAAAAAGAACTGGTAGGCCTGCTCAATGGACAGCCATCTCCCAGAAAAGATCAGGTATACATTCCTCTGAATTTAATCCACTTGTTTAAGTGCTCAATTCTTAATTTCTTTTATTATTATTATTATTATCTATGAATGCCCCACGAAATGGTTATAGATAAGACTGAAAAAAAAATGATATAGGAAAAATGGTTAGATTGATATGGATATCATTGTCATTCACAGACAATTAATTAGTACCGCCAGCGTGTACGCTGGCGGTACTCATGGTTTTAGTCCCGACCCGTCTCGTACGGCTCCTGCAGCTCCGCCAGCTCCGCGTGCTGGCGCCGGATACAAGTCACCGTTACCGCTTCTCCTCCTAGACTGCAAGGACCCATGTTCCCATCTCTTGGATTTAGGTCACATATAATCTCAACTTGAACCCCCTGTTCTTTTTGTCTCAGTCAGTGCATTGGCCTGGGCATGACGCTCGTTGAAACACACCCTTGTCAAAATTTTTGAAAATTCAATGCCAAATATCTCCCAAATCGAAGGAATTATGGGAAAAATTACTATAGAAGTCTGACTGAAAGTCATATGTGAAGATTCCAAATATGCCCTTGGATTTGACCTTTGACCTTTATTTCAAGGTCAAACGGGCCAAAATTTTCTAAAAATCTTAATTTTTTGCGAATTTTTTTTTTTTATTTCTGCTGATTTTCAGAAACTACACAGATCTTACCTTTAATATTATGGGTAGTTGTTACCCTTTGGGTCATCTTTCATCTTTTTGAGTTTGGTGTCAATCGGTGCATTTTCATGGGAGTAGCAGCCAAAACTGAAAACTTTCTCTAATTCTGGAACCGTTAATGCTAGAGACCGCTTGTTTTTTGCCTTTTGTAGAGCTCATTAAGTGCAACACAGAAGGTGGTGTCCATTTTTCCTTTTTCGATTCGGCTTAGGCGTTGCATTATATATCAATAAGTTCAGTATTCAATATTCAGTGGTGAAAATAAAATGTGAAATATTCCAAAATTAGCTGAGATACGCACATAGTTACTATTGAACTTGAATAGGAAGTCGTATACTGGTAATCTGACTGTGATCTTGAAATTGACCTTTGACCTACTTTTCACCATGAACTGCACTTTGCAAGTTTTCTGATCTTTATATCTCCAAAACTGGCAAAGATTCGCCCATAGGTACTATTGAACTTGAATAGGAAGTCATATACTGGCAATTTACTGTGATCCTGAAATTGACCTTTGACCTAATTTTCACCATGAACTAAACTTTGCAAATTTTCCAGTCCTTATATCTCTAAAACTATCAGATATACGCCCATAGTTACTGTTGAACTTGAGTAGGAAGTCATATACTGGCAATCTTACTGTGACCTTGAAATTGACCTTTGACCTACTTTTCACCATGAATTGAACCTTGCAAATTTTGTCACCCTTATATCTCAGAAAACTGACAGAGGTAGGCTCTTAGTTGCTATTGAACTTAAATAGGAAAGCATATACTGGCAATCTAACTGTGGCCTTGAAATTGACCTTTGACTTACTTTTTATGATGAACTGTAGTTTGCATGTTTTCTGGCCTTTATATCTCCAAAATTGGCAAAGAAATGCCCATAGTTACTATTGAACTCGAATAGGAAGTCTTATACTGTGACTTTGAAATTGACCTTTGTCCTTCTTTTTCACCATGAACTAAACTGCATATTTTCTTGCGCCTCATATCTTCAAAAATAGCAGAGATATGCCCAGTGTTGCCCCTTGGTTTTCTTTTTTATCAGCAAATATGCATTTCGAGTCTAGAAAATCACAGGAGTGATCAATGTGAGGAAAATACAGGTCAATTCGAAAATTGATAGGACCATTTATACAGTTATGTTTTTTTTTCTTTTTTGCTTTTTTTTTTTATTTTTTTTTTGATATTTTGAGAATTCTTGTTTATTGCATTTTATGGAGCTTGTCAAGCACAAGACTGGTAGTGGTCAAACACAAGACTGGTAGTGGTCAAACACAAGACTGGTTCGGTTTTCCATATGAATGAGCTTACTCCAGCTGGTGGTACAATATCCAGAGGTGGTATCACCTCTCTGATCCTCTAGTTTAGATCTTGTCTCCTATTAGTTCCTACACATTAAGCTGTCCTTCTGCATTTTTGTCGCAGTGTATTTCCAAAGAAAGATTTATGTTGGAGATTTATATTTTATTCTATATGCAAGTCAAATATTAAATTGTATATATACTGTTATGACAGCCTGGTATGAATTCCATTTGGTACTTAAATATGAGTTCTTTCAAGAAAAACATAATGTGATAATGCATTTTTGTTTTATAATTCTTGGATGTCTTTTTTTAATTCTAGATACACCATGAAGACTCTTTGGAAGATAGTGAAGATGACAAAGCATCAGTTGGCACTACATCAGAGTTTTCTGATGGTTGGTAGTCTGTATTATAAATTTGTTTGAAAACAAATTATTTTAAAAAATATTTTTTTTAAAAGAATGACAACATGAAAGAATTTGTTTTGAAAAGATCTCAATTTATTCATTTTAGGCTACTTTCAAATGCCCTATGAAATGGTGAGAGATGAGATTGAGAAAAGTTTAAAAGACAAGTGGACACAGCTAAAGCAGAGAGTAAGAGACCTGGAAAAAGAACAGAGTAAGGGACATATGAGTTTTTTTATACAGAGATTGATATTTATGGGTGAAAGTTCAGGATTATGCCTGATTTTAGGATTTTTATTCTTCATTTTGATATTTTTTATATGGTGTAAATGTGATGAAAAATTGCAAGCCAGAACTTGTACCCATGGATTTTTAAAGAGTTATTTTCTTTTTAAATTTACTTTTCATTAATTCAGGAATCTTTAAGAATCTACAACCAAAATGTACAGAGTGGGCCTGGAAAGAACCCTCAAAATTTATATATTGTGATTTTGATACTTTTGAATTACCAAACATTATTTAACATGATTTTCCAGTACCCTGATGTGTGTACATCATGAAAGTCTTGAAGTTTGAAATTTGCTTCAGTTTATGTATTATTATTATGTGCTCTTTTTTACCTGATGATAATGCATTATTCCCTCATTTCAGCTGACAGAAGACTGAGTTCTGAAAGTGAAAAGAGCAATCAAGAAGTGGAGAAGCTACAACAGCAGATCCTTGAGTATCAAGAGGTTATCAAACAACAAGAACAACTTATTCAGGTAAAGTTATGTGTGTTATAGCAGACAGTGTGAGGGAATAACATAATTCATTCTCTTGCATATCTTGGTAGACTGTGTCATTGGTTATTTAATAAAGATGTGTATTGGAGTGGGGTCAGTGGATTAGGCCTACTGTCTTCCAAAACAAAATAAAACAGCAGGTTCAATAGCCATCTTTTCTCAGAATGGGAGAAATGCCACTCTTCCGGAGCCTTAGAAAAGTTTTTACTTAAATTTATTTACAAAAATGATATTATGCTACCCTCCTTTTTTTTCTTGCTGTCCTGAGTCAGCCAGTATTAAGGGCAATTAGCATTCAGATTATTTATGAACAATAAACAAATATATTCCAGCAATCAATGCAGAATACTGACAATGATTCTGCCTTCCAAGACCCCTGTCTGCTCGAAGAACGTGAAGCTCTGACTGCAGAGAAGAAGCTGTTCAACCAACAGAAAAAGCATTTTGAGGAAGAAAGGAAAAACTTCACTGAAGCTGCAATCAGACTGGGGAGAGAGGTAGTTAATATGTTCATAGTAAAACTAGTTATCCTTCCTTAAGAGTATAAGAAAGCTCTCATTACCAGAAAGCCAGAAGCAATTGGCAATTTATAGTAAAGTTTCTTATGGGATTTGTTTTTCCCAGATATGGTATGAATCGATTATCTTGATATTGCATATTTGTGCCTTCAGAATTTGAATTGGCTTACTTTAAAACTAGTTTCACCTTCACTTTAGAAAAGAGCCTTTGAAGAAGAGAAAGCCAGGCAACTGAGGGACCAGTTCATGAGCATGACTCCATTTGGCTCCATGGACAAAAGTGTTTCAGTATTGGGTTCCCATTCCTACTCAGGTAAGAAAATAAGCCTTTGACCTTACCAAAAATATTGTTATCCTCAGAAAATGAGTATATGGAACATCTGCCACCTGTGTATGAAGACTAGACATTTGAAAACATTCTCAGAGATAAATTAAAATAGATTGGTGATAGTTATCGGAACCTTTAATTTTCTATAGTACCTGACATGGCCAAGCTGACACCAGCCAACCCCGTCTTCTCACCACTGCCTGAGAGAACTGAAAGTCTCAAGACGCCATCTACAGTTGATTTATACAGGACTATTGGGCTGATACATGACCAACACAGCAGGTAAGGCACTTTAGAGTTCAGGTTTATTGGTTAAATGAAGTATATTGTTATCACTGAGGCCTTCATGTTGTTGTTCTAGATGACATTTTAATAATAAACCTAAAAGTTTGCCCGTTTCTTTTGGCATGGTTCACAAAAGCCCCAAACGCTGGTAGACCTTTTAATAGATTTGTTTATGTTATTTTCATTAAGAAATCCTCCTTTCAACTTGTTTTAAGCATTTTTTCTTAATTTGTAGTAGTTCAACCACATCAACCAAGCGCTCGCCCAGTCCAACTAGGTCACGCGATTCCAAAAATTTGAGCAAATCTCAGTCCTCCTCCACCAGACGCTCCAATATATCGTCCAACGGAAGATCTTCAGAAGCCACCAACAGCAGGCCTTCCTCGGACTCCAGCCAGAGGATTGCGGAACATGTTGCCAATGTGAGACTGGCTCTGTTTAACAAGTCTGGGACAGCTGGTATGTCTGGGACAGCTGGTAAGTCCGGGACAGGAAATCACAGGAAAGGTGGACAGGGAGAGGATGGAGGCAGAAACAGTTGGAGAAAAGATGACAGAACAGGGTCATATGGCTTTTAATGGGACCAATGGTGTATATTGATTTGATGTGAGAGATTTCTATTTTGGGTAATTTTATATAAAGATTTTTTTTTCCTCAAATGGGACCAAATGTATTGATATGTGAATTTCTTAAAAGATATACTATAGGACCAATTCTTTGTTATTTTTCCCCACAAAAGGGACCAAATATGTTATATGAATATTTTTGAAAATATATTATTGGACCAATACAAAAATATTGAAATTGTCTGGGTAATGTTCGAAACTTAAGATCTGGGCATTCTATTATAATGGTTGATTTTTCAAAAATATGTTCTGCGATGATTCTTATTGTTGCAACTTGAAGTACAGTTGATTCAAGGGATAAATGATGCATTTAAGATGGGACCAAATGGTAAAAATACTCTGTTGTGATGGGTAAGATCTCGGCTTCAGATGCTAAAAAAACTTTCAGATTAACTTTGAGTGTAGTCGATAACAGTTCAGCCTTTGTGATATCACAATAATATGTACTTGCTTTATCAATTAGTGTTACATTCTGGTGATATTTGAAATGATAAAAATTGCTGCATTTTGTGATATTAGGACTAGTATCAGTGTAGAGATGAAAGATTCTTCAGGTTGTGAATATTATACAGTAAGCTCAGAGCTCATTTCTTTGTGTACATACGTGATGAATATATCTGATTATGTTAGCATTGCTGCACCTTTTTCTGTGCATGCTGTACAAGATGTAACACTGCCAGTTATGAATCATAGATTTATCAATGAGGTTTTCATAAAGCGAAAAACAAACAAGAACTTTCAATATTGTTTTGTAATGTATCTTTGACATGAACATAAGATTTCATCATATTCCTCTCAGATGACATGATGAAAAAAGTTAATACTGAATTTTAATTATGAATTTTTAAAATTATATAACTTCATAGTGATGAGGAAATCTATTACAACCAAGCAAAGTTATCTGCTAAGTAAACAGAAAACATTTGCTTGCAGAAAAAAAAGTCTTTTCACAATGGTTTATGTGCATATATTGGTGAAAAGTAATATGTGAAACAAATTGCTGGATGTTCTTGTAACAACTGGTTGTGATTAATTCGTTATTTAAACATATCATGGAGAGAAGTGAAAGCTAAATGCCATTACATTCCTTTAAGCATAATCCGCCCACCGTAATGCCACTTTGTGTACTCGACTATGTGATTTATAATGACCAGACTTCTTTGATATTGCTATTTATTTGTTTATACATATCATATTGATTAAATTAGGATATTATACATATAATGTCGCAAAGTCATGCTAAAAACTTTGTAACTGTAGCATTATTATTACGTTTTTCTCGTGTATTTTGTTTTTCTGTTCTATTTTCTGTGTACTTTTGTTCATTTTGCGTTATCTATGTATGTGCCAGTTATTGGAATTTGAATAAGGTTAAATAAAAACCAAGAAAAAGTTAAAATTGTTTATTGATACTGGGAAATCCTTATATTAACTTTTATTTCTCTTTAAAAATACTTAATTAAAAGCAACAATATCAGAGCATTTCAACAGTGAGACAAGCAACTTTGGGTACAAACATCTGTTCTTAATTACAAGTGACATAAACATTTAAATAATCCTTAATTTTATAATAATATTATAATTCTATGATGATATGATGGTATCCAGGTTTCATGAAAAAAAATTTACTTTCTACCAAAATAGTGTCTCAAAAAAGTCATTAATAGAAATGATCCAACCTGCAGTTCATCTCTTTTCCACTTATAACTAGGCAGCAGCCTAATTCACAGAGCCACACAGCGATGCAGATGGTGCATTATTTTTTCATAACATGTACAGTATTTAGAATATCTGAAATCCATTCTTCTTTAAATTCTTTACTAAATCTCCTAGAACTTGTACAAAACCAAGAATAATCCTTGAGTCTTGTAGAGTAAAACTTACAAGGGCTGCGATTAATTAATTATTATTATTATTTATTTATTTATTTTTATTTTTTGTCTGTGTTTATGTATACATCCATTTTATCACCTTTACGAGTTCTCTTACATATCCCATGATTATTTTTTTTTAAAGTTTCATAAAATAAAATATAAATAAATTAAAACAGACACATGCAGTCAACCAAATGTTAACATGTGAAGTCATTTAGAAGGCATTTGATATATTAAGAGGGAATGATCGATCGTCGAAAACAATAACATATTATTTATTTGAAAATAAATAACTCGGAAAAAATATAATGAAGTTTTATAGGTCGAAGAGGATAAGTAAGTAAGTAACATATTATTTATTCATAATTAACTAATTTTATGTCGGTGATATTAGCCTGCTATGGCTAGTGTTGTGCTTGTTGGAAAACTGACGTGAAATAAAATTATGTTATGTTATGTTATGTTATGAGCTAACCAAAAGACTTGCGAAAATTTGATTCGAACGTCAACGAAGTGCACGTGTGAAACAGAGAACGATCAACTTCCGCACTAGCAATGACCTAGTTAGAGAATTTACTAGGTCATTGTACTGGGAGTGTGCCTTCCGCACGATGTCAACAATGTGTAAAATGTGTTTTACTACAGCTTGGATTTAGCTTTCTTCAGTATATGTGGTTGCAGTTTTTTGTTGCTCTATAACAGTGATACATATTATAACATTTTAAAAGGCAATTAGCTAAAGAAAAAGGTCGCGAGTATCTGAAGACTGAAGCCTGAAGGCTCAACAAAAATATAAGTTACGGATGTGCATGTACCGATACATGTAGTCATACTACTACCGCTAGGTCCTTAATGCCCACTATGTTTCCAGAGCCAGACGTTATCACAGTGACGGTATACATTCTTTCCATACTGCTGGGACTGGTTTTGTACCGGTTTATGGTATGGTATATGCAGATCCTGGTCAAGGTTGCTTTTATTGACCAATTCCCTGGACCTCCTAAACATTGGTTGTGGGGAAATTTGCATCAGGTAACTTTAGGTCAAATGTGAGTGTGCATGTTCTTTAAATTACTTTATATTCAACAAAACACTATGGCCTGCCATCGACATCTTCACACTCATTCCTAGGACCCAAATACAGTAGACAAGTTGAGTACGTGGACCCTACATGTAGATACTGTAATTCTTAACCAAACAAATTCCCCAAACTACAAAGTAGTACTTATTTATTCATTCATTAATTATAAATTCCATTCCAGCATCCAGGCATGAATGATGCCTGTTTGAAGTGGATACTGCAGCTGACAGAACAACACAAGACTGCCTTTCGTTATTGGTTTGGCCCCTTTAAAGTGTGTGTGGCTGTGGTCCACCCAGACACTGTCAAAGTAATACTGAACAGCACCGAGCCCAAGACTTCCTTGGGAGGATATAACCTTATGCAGGACTGGCTAGGTATAGCTTAGTATTAACTGAAGAACTGTACAGTACATCGAGACTATTCAACCCAGAATCATTTAATATATAGCTTTTCTCCCCTTACAAATTATGAAAAAAGTTTCTCTACATTTAAAATTTATAAGTTACACAGACAAATACACACACACATGCATACATACACATACACACACACAACATTCAAAATTCTTCGTATTTTATTGTCGTGTTATAATTTTTTTTTAAATTTCTTTGACTCTTATTGTTTGTAATTATTGGATCTTATAATGAAATATTATTGTTTGTTTTTGAAGGAAATGGCCTCCTGCTTAGTAAAGGAGAACTGTGGCATCGTAATCGCAAGCTGATTTCTCCTGGTTTTCACTTTGATGTACTTAAGCCATATGTTAACATTTACAACAGAACAGTAGAAGTTTTTATGGTAAGTTCTTGAGATGTGAGTGTAAAAGATGCTTTATTTGCACAGAAATGTCTTTAACTTTTATGAACATGGTGCCTGCATTCTTTCTTATAATGTCCAAACACAGTGATCTTTTTCAGTTGCAAAAGTGATTGACTCTAGCTCAAAAAAATTACTTCGGTAAGAAAAAGAAATCTGGCTAGAACTAAATATAATGAAGAGCAATTAATTTATAAACCTGGGTGCTCTGTTTAATTCACATGAACATAAATTGTTTGATATTTATCTTTTGTTTATAATTTCATTTCATTGTATCAGGAGAAAATGTCAGCAGCTGCCAGTCTAGGTACCAGTTTTGAAGTGTCGTCACCTTTAGGACTGTGCACCCTGGACACCATGTTACAGTGCGCTTTTTCTGTTCAAGAAAAAATTCAGGAGCAAGGGTAATTGTTTCTGCACTAAAAAATTCTTATTCCCAAGCACACTGCGCACAGCAAGTGCTGTCTCAAATCAGTAAAAAGGCATATAGAACCTAAGTTGATAATCCCAGAGATTTCACAAATTCACCCTTTGTTACCTAGGTGTTCTCTATCCAAAACTGTCAAGAAAATTATGATCTATAAACATGTTTAGTTTTTAAGTACTAATTAAGGGTACTTGTATATTATATAGTTGTTAACAACTAACGGACAAGAATGGAGGAGAGCCATATGTGGGAAAAGGTCCAACTCTGTTCATGCAGGACTGAAGACCTGAAAAACCATGATGATGATTAACCTCTCTACCAGTGGATAAAATTCACATTTCTCTCACTTTTCTTTCAGTGACTCTCATCCTTTCAGTAAAGCCACTGCTATGTTATGCAGACTAGTATTAGATAGAGCATTGTAAGTTATACTTGGATAATCATCATGTATTCAAGTGTCTTCCTTGACTTTTTTAAATGCTTAATTTTGAAATAAAGTCAGAAATGTTTTTTTTTTTTTTTTTTTTTTTTTTTTTTTTTTTTTTTTTTTTTTTTTTTTTTTTTCTTTAAAAATTAAAAAAAAAAAATTTTAAAATTTTTTTTAACCTTTTTTATTTTTTTTTTTGTANTAATGTTAGCATTGCTGCACCTTTTTCTGTGCATGCTGTACAAGATGTAACACTGCCAGTTATGAATCATAGATTTATCAGTGAGGTTTTCATAAAGCGAAAAACAAACAAGAACTTTCAATATCGTTTTGTAATGTATCTTTGACATGAACATAAGATTTCATCATATTCCTCTCAGATGACATGATGAAAAAAGTTAATACTGAATTTTAATTATGAATTTTTAAAATTATATAACTTCATAGTGATGAGGAAATCTATTACAACTAAGCAAAGTTATCTGCTAAGTAAACAGAAAACATTTGCTTGCAGAAAAAAAAGTCTTTTCACAATGGTTTATGTGCATATATTGGTGAAAAGTAATATGTGAAACAAATTGCTGGATGTTCTTGTAACAACTGGTTGTGATTAATTCGTTATTTAAACATATCATGGAGAGAAGTGAAAGCTAAATGCCATTACATTCCTTTAAGCATAATCCGCCCACTGTAATGCCACTTTGTGTACTCGACTATGTGATTTATAATGACCAGACTTCTTTGATATTGCTATTTATTTGTTTATACATATCATATTGATTAAATTAGGATATTATACATATAATGTCGCAAAGTCATGCTAAAAACTTTGTAACTGTAGCATTATTATTACGTATTTCTCGTGTATTTTGTTTTTCTGTTCTATTTTCTGTGTACTTTTGTTCATTTTGCGTTATCTATGCATGTGCCAGTTATTGGAATTTGAATAAGGTTAAATAAAAACCAGGAAAAAGTTAAAATTGTTTATTGATACTGGGAAATCCTTATATTAACTTTTATTTCTCTTTAAAAATGCTTAATTAAAAGCAACAATATCAGAGCATTTCAACAGTGAGACAAGCAACTTTGGGTACAAACATCTGTTCTTAATTCCAAGTGACATAAACATTTAAATAATCCTTAATTTTATAATAATATTATAATTCTATGATGATATAATGGTATCCAGGTTTCATGAAAAAAAATTACTTTCTACCAAAATAGTGTCTCAAAAAAGTCATTAATAGAAATGATCCAACCTGCAGTTCATCTCTTTTCCACTTATAACTAGGCAGCAGCCTAATTCACAGAGCCACACAGCGATGCAGATGCATGGTGCATTATTTTTTCATAACATGTACAGTATTTAGAATATCTGAAATCCATTCTTCTTTAAATTCTTTACTTAATCTCCTAGAACTTGTACAAAACCAAGAATAATCCTTGAGTCTTGTAGAGTAAAACTTACAAGGGCTGCGATTAATTAATTATTATTATTATTATTATTTATTTATTTATTTTTATTTTTTGTCTGTGTTTATGTATACATCCATTTTATCACCTTTACGAGTTCTCTTACATATCCAATGATTATTTTTTTAAAAAGTTTCATAAAATAAAATATAAATAAATTAAAACAGACACAGTCAACCAAAAGTTAACACGTGAAGTCATTTAGAAGGCATTTGATATATTAAGAGGGAATGATCGATCGTCGAAAACAATTAATAGTCACATAACATATTATTTATTTGAAAATAAATAACTCGAAAAAAATATAATGAAGTTTTTTTAGCTCGAAGAGGATAAGTAAGTAAGTAACATATTATTTATTCATAATTAACTAATTTTATGTACGAGCTAACCAAAAGACTTGCGAAAATTTGATTCGAACGTCAACGAAGTGCACGTGTGAAACAGAGAACGATCAACTTCCGCACTAGCAATGACCTAGTTAGAGAGTTTACTAGGTCATTGTACTGGGAGTGTGCCTTCCGCACGATGTCAACAATGTGTAAAATGTGTTTTACTACAGCTTGGATTTAGCTTTCTTCAGTATATGTGGTTGCAGTTTTTTGTTGCTCTATAACAGTGATACATATTATAACATTTTTAAAAGGCAATTAGCTAAAGAAAAAGGTCGCGAGTATCTGAAGACTGAAGCCTGAAGGCTCAACAAAAATATAAGTTACTAGTAGTACTATACGGATGTGCATGTACCGATACATGTAGTCATACTACTACCGCTAGGTCCTTAAAGCCCACTATGTTTCCAGAGCCAGACGTTATCACAGTGACGGTATACATTCTTTCCATACTGCTGGGACTGGTTTTGTACCGGTTTATGGTATGGTATATGCAGATCCTGGTCAAGGTTGCTTTTATTGACCAATTCCCTGGACCTCCTAAACATTGGTTGTGGGGCAATTTGCATCAGGTAACTTTAGGCCAAATGTTTGTGTGCATGTTCTTTAAATGACTTTATATTCAACAAAATACTATAGCCTGCAATCGGCATCTTCACACTCATTCCTAGGACCCAAATACAGTAGACAAGTTGAGTACGTGGACCCTACATGTAGATACTGTAATTCTTAACCAAACAAATTCCCCAAACTACAAAGTAGTACTTATTTATTCATTCATTAATTATAAATTCCATTCCAGCATCCAGGCATGAATGATGCCTGTTTGAAGTGGATACTGCAGCTGACAGAACAACACAAGACTGCCTTTCGTTATTGGTTTGGCCCCTTTAAAGCGTGTGTGGCTGTGGTCCACCCAGACACTGTCAAAGTAATACTGAACACCACCGAGCCCAAGACTTCCTTGGGAGGATATAACCTTATGCAGGACTGGCTAGGTATGGCATTGTATTAGCTGAAGAACTGTAGAGTACATTGAGACTTTTCAACCCAGAATTATTGAATACCACTGGTACATGTAGTATATATATATAGCTTTTCTCCCCTAATAAGTTATAAAAAAAGTTTTTTCTACATTTACATGTAGAATCTTTTAGTTACACACACACATACCCCCCCCCCCCCACACACACACACAAAAAAAAGAAAGTAATTCATTTTGTATTGTTTGTGATAATTTTTAATAAATTTATTTGACTCTTATTGTTTGCTATTGTTGGATCTTATTATGAATTAATATAATTGTTTGTTTTCGAAGGAAATGGCCTCCTGCTTAGTAAAGGAGAACTGTGGCATCGTAATCGCAAGTTGATTTCTCCTGGTTTTCACTTTGATGTACTTAAGCCATATGTTAACATTTACAACAGAACAGTAGAAGTTTTTATGGTAAGTTCTTGAGATGTGAGTGTAAAAGATGCTTTATTTGCACAGAAATGTCTTTAACTTCTATGAACATGATGTCCAAACACAGTGATCTTTTTCAGTCGCAAAAGTGATTGACTCCAGCTCAAAAAATTGAAAAAATTAAAAATTACTTCGGTAAAAAAAAGAAATCTGGCTAGAACTAAATATATTGAAGAGCAATTAATTTATAAACCTGGGTGCTCTGTTTAATTCACATGTACATAAATTGTTTGATATTTAATTATCTTTTGTTTATAATTTCATTTCATTGTATCAGGGGAAAATGTCAGCAGCTGCCAGTCTAGGTACCAGTTTTGAAGTGTCGTCACCTTTAGGACTGTGCACCCTGGACACCATGTTACAGTGTGCTTTTTCTGTTCAAGAAAAAATTCAGGAGCAAGGGTAATTGTTTCTGCACTAAAAAAATCTTATTCCCAAGCACACTGCACACAGCAAATGCTGTCTCAAATCAGTAAAAAGGCATACAGAACCTAAGTTGATAATCCCAGAGATTTCACAAATTCACCCTTTGTTACCTAGGTGTTCTCTATCCAAAACTGTCAAGAAAATTATGATCTATAAACATGTTTAGTTTTTAAGTACTAAGGGTACTTGTATATTATATAGTTGTTAACAACTAACGGACAAAAATGGAGGAGAGCCATATGTGGGAAAAGGTCCAACTCTGTTCATGCAGGACTGAAGACCTGAAAAACCGATGATGATGATGATTAACCTCTCTACCAGTGGATAAAATTCACATTTCTCTCACTTTTCTTTCAGTGACTCTCATCCTTTCAGTAAAGCCACTGCTATGTTATGCAGACTAGTATTAGATAGAGCATTGTAAGTTATACTTGGATAATCATCATGTATTCAAGTGTCTTCCTTGACTTTTTTAAATGCTTAATTTTGAAATAAAGCCAAAAAAAAAATTTTTTTTTTTTTTTGCAATTAAACATTAAAGCAAAAGAAATTTAAGAATTTGATTAAGCCTTTTGACTATTTCTTTGTGTACATCAAGCCAGCAACTTTTGTTTGCCACTTAACATAAACTAAAGGGAAATTAAGAAAATGGTGAAGCCCTTTGACTATATATGCTAGATAATACACTTTTTTCCCAGGAAACCTTACCTGTTCAATGATTTTATCTATTCACTAACCAAAAAAGGAAGAGAGTGGAAAAGAAACTGTCAGTTTGTCCATAAGTTTGCAGACCATGTGATCCAGGAGAGAAAACAGTTATTGGTATGTGTAAAGTGACTGATGATAGTAATAATCTTTTGTTCATTTTCTATTTCTATTTATTTTCTATTACTTTTTTATTTCCTTTCATTTTAATTATGATTGTTGATTTCAGAACATTTCGTAAATATTTTAATTTAATTTAATGTTTTAACATTGCACTATTTATTAAAAAAGGAGCTGTGTTTTATTTTGTTTTTATGACATTGTCATCTGTTGTTTACAGAAGTTAAATGTTGTTTTTATTTCATGTGTTTTGTTTTTAGAAGCAAGATTCCAGTATTTTAAGCAATAAAAAGCATCTAGATCTCCTGGACATATTACTTGGTGCCAGAGATGAGAATGGTGAAGGGATGACTGACAAGGAGATTAGGGATGAAGCAAGCACATTCCTTTTTGCAGGTTTGTCAGTTTAACTTAAAAGAGCACAAAATGTTTATGCATTGTATATGTATATTGTATATGTATTTTATGTATTACAAACAATTGGTTTCCTTATATACTGTATGTAAGTATTGGTAACACCTGAAAGGTCTTACTTATAGATCATAATCTTTTAATCTACATCCTTTTGTCCATTATCCTGGGTATCTTTGCTTGTTTTGTTTCTTAACTTTTGTGAAATGAATTTATATTTTAGTTAATATGTTTTCATCTTCAGGTCATGATACCAGTTCTAATGCCATTTCTTGGACGTTGTATTCTCTGGCCAAACACCCTGTGTATCAAGATAAAATCAGAGATGAAGTTGATGAAATACTTCATGGGAGAACAAAGGATGATATATTGTGGTGTGTAAAAAATAACATGATGAACAGAAATCAATTGGAGTGCAGGGTTTGAAATACGACAAACAAAAAAAGAAAGTTTGAAACATGATTTTCAGGTTCTTAGAGATAATGAATCAATGATTTAAAGCTACATGTATTGAACAGATATCATTTTTCCATACTGTCTTTGTGTGATTTGCTGCATTTACAACTTATCATCCAAAATGTTTGTTTTAAAAACTCTTACTCTGAGACAAGAAGGAACTGCTAAAATCACAGTTAGTAGACTTGGAACATAATCCATTCTGTGATTGAGATATTCATGATGTTTCCCAGATTTTCTTTATGCAAAATTTAGTAACCATCAAAACACATTTAATTCAGATCACTTCTGTCTTTTCTATCAAGGCAGGACCTGCCAAAGCTGGAATACCTCACACTAGTACTAAAGGAATCTCTACGCATGCATAGCCCTGCAGTGAACATAGCCAGAGAGACTACCCAGGAGTGGGAGATAGATGGACTGAAGGTCCCCCCAGGGATTTGTATTGACATCTGGCCATGGGCAGTCCACCATAACCCACATGTATGGGATAATCATATGGTAAGTGTGTGTGTGTCCTGAAAATTGAACAAAGTACATAAACTACAAACAAATTATTTTTAACTTACTGTAAACAACAAATGACATCTTGAAAACAAAATATTAGTTTATATGCTGACATGTTTTTCAACATGTCTCATGTGAATGACGAGAAGGAGAGAGAGAGAGAGAGAGAGAGAGAGAGAGAGAGAGAGAGCTAATTTAACTTCACTAACTATTTACCAAATGTGGCATACTGGAAAGCTTACTGTTCTGTCCACTCTGTTACATGCTTTTGTAATTTTTACTTAGGAATTCCAACCTGAAAGATTTTTACCTGAAAATATGGAACACATGGACCCCTTTGCATACATTCCATTTTCTGCAGGTCCAAGGTAAACAGTTTATTTGGGTATAAGATAAGACTGCATTCCCACAGATTTTTAGATCGATCTATCCCTGTGGGGAGTCTCACTAGATTGCTGCCGGCTTAGCTGGCTTAAATGTCTGTCCTGCCTGCTAAAAGCTGTAAGGGGTAATTACCTTTCTTGCACGCTCGGCTGACAGAAATTTAGCGTGAACCCCCAGGGAGTTAGGTTGATCCAGATGGATCGATCGAAATCTGTGGGAATGCAGTCTTGGGCATCTTTGCAATTTTTCTATAAAAAAGGTGATGTTTTAAGTTACTGTATGTTAAGATATGGTATATTTTTGACAAGCAATCGGCATTTGATAAAATAGGAGTTATTAATAAAGTAAACTTTGAGGAAACTATCAGCTTGTCATTTCTATGACTCTGCCAACTTGTGTCTGCATTAGGAAGTTTTGAATTGCCGCTGTAAACTACAAGGCAAGAGCTCAGTATCTGACATTGATGCAGGCTTTGTCATTGTTTTGTTTGACTACTATGATTGCAAGCTTGTCCAAAAAACCTTCAATGAAAAGAAGCCTGTAGATTCTACAAATTTAAAATATTTATCCATTGTAACACAGGAATTGCATTGGGAAGCACTTTGCTATGAATGAACTAAAAGTAATGGTGGCAAGAATAATACACAGGTAAGTTATTTGTGGATCACTTTCATATTTGAAACTATGGCATCATTGCATACTGTGTACTGTGTTAAAAAACTATATTCAAGAGGTTTATTTATACCCATGTGTAAATTTAGTTATTGTAAATCAGATTGCTTGATCAGTAGGAGGGTGTGGTTTCTTTCACAGATTCAAACATACGTTTGATGGTTCACTATCAAGTTTCTAATTCTTTACCATAATCAACTTCTTGAATAAGAATAAGAGCTCTACTGATTAAATAGGGTACATAGTTAGTAGATATAATTTCAATTTTTGTTTCTATATCTTAGATTTCATTTGGAGTTGGACCCAGACCATGACTACACTTACCAACCAGATGCTGTCTTGAGAGCAAAGCATGGCATTAAACTGTTTGTGAAAGAGAGGAAAACATAGTGAGTCTTCTTTTTGGTGCTGATTGACCATTGTGATTTATCAAGTACTATCCGTCAAGGACAATGGTATGTTCTCGTCTACATATTACATAAAAAAGAAAGATTAAAGGCACTGACTGGTGGATGTATGTTTACAGACAGATATTGACCTACACAGGAATACTATTTATTACTTTCCTGACCAGTGTAAACTCCTAATCATAATGATGAAAAAGAGTGTTAAACAGAAGCAGGCTGGCAGTTGGCAATATTTGTTGCAAGAAACTATTTGTGTTTTGGTACATAAATAATAAGTAAATAACATGTAAATTTCCCAAAGAATTGGGAAAGGTGGTTTAGCANGTTTCCTTTAATTATGACATTGCACTATTTATTAAAAAAGGAGCTGTGTTATATTTTGTTTTTATGACATTGTCATCTGTTGTTTACAGAAGTTTAATGTTGTTTTTATTTCATGTGTTTTGTTTTTAGAAGCAAGATTCCAGTATTTTAAGCAATAAAAAGCATCTAGATCTCCTGGACATATTACTTGGTGCCAGAGATGAGAATGGTGAAGGGATGACTGACAAGGAGATTAGGGATGAAGCAAGCACATTCCTTTTTGCAGGTTTGTCAGTTTAACTTAAAAGAGCACAAAATGTTTATGCATTGTATATGTATATTGTATATGTATTTTATGTATTACGAACAATTGGTTTCCTTATATACTGTATGTAAGTATTGGTAACACCTGAAAGGTCTTACTTATAGATCATTATCTGTTAATCTACATCCTTTTGTCCATTATCCTGGGTATCTTTGCTTGTTTTGTTTCTTAACTTCTGTGAAATGAATTGATATTTTAGTTAATATGTTTTCATCTTCAGGTCATGATACCAGTTCTAATGCCATTTCTTGGACGTTGTATTCTCTGGCCAAACACCCTGTGTATCAAGATAAAATCAGAGATGAAGTTGATGAAATACTTCATGGGAGAACAAAGGATGATATATTGTGGTGTGTAAAAAATAACATGATGAACAGAAATCAATTGGAGTGCAGGGTTTGAAATATGACAAAAAAAATAAAGTTTGAAACATGATGTTCAGGTTAATTCTTAGAGATAATGAGTCAATGATTTAAAACTACATGTATTGAACAGATATCATTTTTCCATACTGTCTTTGTGTGATTTGCTGCATTTACAACTTATCATCAGAAATGTTTGTTTTAAAAACTCTTACTCTGAGACAAGAAGGAACTACTAAAATCACAGCTAGTAGACTTGGAACATAATCCATTCTGTGATTGAGATATTCGTGTTGTTTCCCAGATTTTTTTTATGCAAAATTTAGTAACCATCAAAACACATTTAATTCAGATCACTTCTGTCTTTTCCATTAAGGCAGGACCTGCCAAAGCTGGAATACCTCGCACTGGTACTAAAGGAATCTCTACGCATGCATAGCCCTGCAGTGAACATAGCCAGAGAGACTACCCAGGAGTGGGAGATAGATGGACTGAAGGTCCCCCCAGGGGTTTGTATTGACATCTGGCCATGGGCAGTCCACCATAACCCACATGTATGGGATAATCATATGGTAAGTGTGTGTGTGTGTGTCCTGAAAATTGAACAAAATACATAAACTACAAACAATTTTTAACTTACTGTAAACAACAAATGACATCTTGAAAACAAAATATTAGTTTATATGCTGATATGTTTTTCAACATGTCTCATGTGAATGACGAGAGAGAGAGAGAGAGAGAGAGAGAGAGAGAGCTAATTTAACTTCACTAACTATTTACCAAATGTGGCATACTGGAAAGCTTACTGTTCTGTCCACTCTGTTACATGCTTTTGTAATTTTTACCTAGGAATTCCAACCTGAAAGATTTTTACCTGAAAATATGGAACACATGGACCCCTTTGCATACATTCCATTTTCTGCAGGTCCAAGGTAAACAGTTTATTTGGGTATAAGATGAGACTGCATTCCCACAGATTTTTAGATCGATCTATCCCTGTGGGGAGTCTCACTAGATTGCTGTCGGCTTAGCTGGCTTAAATGTCTGTCCTGCCTGCTAAAAGCTGTAAGGGGTAATTACCTTTCTTGCATGCTCGGCTGACAGAAATTTAGCGTGAACCCCCAGGGAGTTAGGTCGATCCAGATGGATCGATCTAAATCTGTGGGAATGCAGTCTTGGGCATCTTTGCAATTTTTCTATAAAAAAGGTGATGTTTTAAGTTACTGTAATGTTAAGTTATGGTATATTTTTGACAAACAATCGGCATTTGATAAAATAGGAGTTATTAATAAAGTAAACTTTGAGGAAACTATCGGCTTGTCATTTCTATGACTCTGCCAACTTGTGTCTACATTAGGAAGTTTTGAATTGCCGCTGTAAACTACAAGGCAAGAGCTCAGTATCTGACATTGATGCAGGCTTTGTCATTGTTTTGTTTGACTACTATGATTGCAAGCTCGTCCAAAAAACCTTCAATGAAAAGAAGCCTGTAGATTCTACAAATTTAAAATATTTATCCATTGTAACACAGGAATTGCATTGGGAAGCACTTTGCTATGAATGAACTAAAAGTAATGGTGGCAAGAATAATACACAGGTAAGTTATTTGTGGATCACTTTCATATTTGAAACTATGGCATCATTGCATACTGTGTACTGTGTTAAAAAAAAACTATATTCAAAAGAGGTTTATTTATACCCATGTGTAAATTTAGTTATTGTAAATCAGATTGCTTGATCAGTAGGAGGTCGTGGTTTCTTTCACAGATTCAATCATACATTCGATGGTTCACTATCAAGTTTCTAATTCTTTACCATAATCAACTTCTTGAATAAGAATAAGAGCTCTACTGATTAAATAGGGTACATAGTAGATATAATTTCAATTTTTGTTTCTATATCTTAGATTTCATTTGGAGTTGGACCCAGACCATGACTACACTTACCAACCAGATGCTGTCTTGAGAACAAAGCATGGCATTAAACTGTTTGTGAAAGAGAGGAAAACATAGTGAGTCTTCTTTTTGGTGCTGAATGACCATTGTGATTTATCAAGTACTATCCGTCAAGGACAATGGTATGTTCTCGTCTACATATTACATAAAAAAGAAAGATTAAAGGCACTGACTGGTGGATGTATGTTTACAGACAGATATTGACCTACACAGGAATACTATTTATTACTTTCCTGACCAGTGTAAACTCCTAATCATAATGATGAAAAAGAGTGTTAAACAAAAGCAGGCTGGCAGTTAGCAATATTTGTTGCAAGAAACTATTTGTGTTTTGGTACATAAATGATAAGTAAATAACATGTAAATTTCCCAAAGAATTGGGAAAGGTGGTTAAGTATTAACAAGTTTAACTCTGAAACAAATTGAACTTCAGAAAAATTAGATAGAATATGTGTACTGTGTGAAATAAATGGGGCCCTGTGTGTAAATGCCCCACAAATGACAGAAAAAAAGGGAATGTGAAATGTGAGACAAAAGATTCATGTAGTAGACAATGAACATGGTGAGATAGAGAAGAGAAGACCAAAAGGCTCCATGTAGTAAACAATGTTTAACATTATTTAAAATGTTTTGAAGTATTAATCACTGAATACACACCTCATCACTCATAACTTCCATCGTTTATGGAACATTTATTTCCAAATACACAAAAATACAAAATCTTCCTGTATCTTCATTGTGGTTATATATTTAGCAAGATTTTTACATTTTACTGACAAAGCACAGACTTTCATTTGATTTTTTCAGCAATGGCACCCTATGTGCAAACATTAGACACCATTCCCTCAACAATACTCAATTAATTGTGACTATTCCGTGGCTGTAATAAAAAGAGACACTTTCAGTGAGTCAATTTTCTTTAAATAAGGCAATGAGGCCAATGAAGACTTACAAGTCTGGTGATTTACTTTTTAACTTGTTTAACATTTTGAACTTAACATCATTAACATCACATGGGTCAAAAAAAAGTATAATTTGGTAGATACATTGCACATTTCTATTTATTTAACATTTTATGAGTAACAAACAGACATGACATGACTTAAGTTGTTTACATTGATAGCAAGTCCTAGAATATCATAATTTGTGCAAAATATCCTGACTTGTACAATATGAAAAAACAAACCATAACTGATGACAAAAAAAACTTTTGTCTCGCCTGTGCATTTTTAATGAAACTAGGTATACACAAAACAGTGACACTCCTTATAAAATTAACTTCCTCAGATAACTTGGAACAAAAACTAACATTTAGACAGACTAAAAAATACATTACAAAGTATAGTGGACAATAATACATATTAATACTGCAATGAAAACATTTGTTCAAATGCTGAAATGGCACCAATGTATAAGTCTTACTGCTGCAAAAGTTTGGATGCATTTCTAAAAAGCTGAGATACTTTAAATTGTAAAATTATCATTATAAAATACTAAAATTAATTTGTGCAGCTGAAAACCTGTATCAGATATCATTTGCAATTAAAGATAAAAAACTTTTTTAGATAAAAAAATGTCTCAAGCTGACATTTTCTCAGATTCTTAACAGAAAAACACATTAAAAATGAAATAGAAAGTATTTACATGATTAAAAAAACATGCACCTAATCAACTATGAACCCAGCATGTAAGTATTGTAACACATCTTGTTTGGATCACGTGGCTAGCACGTTGCTACCACATTATACCACTTGGTACCAACTTGATGTGTCTGCTGGGAAGTACTGTTTGCATCACAAAGGTGACCAATACCCCATTCACACTACAGTTGCAAAAATGCGCATTACTATAATTCGAAATTTTTTGTGAGGAATTCGATTCGGTATTGCGTTCACACACGCGAAGCGAAACCGAATCCCATGTTGAAAATTTCAGGTTTAACTTCCTGTTTTGAACACTCGCGCATGCGCCACACAGGAAAACTCAAAATACCAACAAAAATTTGTGACGGCAAATGCAACTCAAAACACATTCCAGCATTCTTGGGAAGTATAAGATCGCAAAATAAGTTTATGTTTCCTCATGTTGTTGTGAGTGGTGACCTCCAAATACATTTGGTGCAATCGCTAAAGTAATAAACAAGTGTTCATAGATACCCGCACTTATCTGCACACATGCGCAGTAAGATCTGTACAGGTGTCAATTCCGGTAAGTTATTCGAATCGCTTAAGAAAATCCAGCTCGCTAGCAGGATTTTGAAAATCCGCTTAACAAAAATCCTCACGCGTTCAGACTACTACAATTATTTGAATCGGGACCTAATTTGCTATTTATTTGAATAAATAACTGTAGTGTGAACGGGGTACAAATGGTTACATTACTGCTTGATGGTTACAATAATTTTTAAAAAAATACTGTATAATATCATCTAATAATGTTATTTTAAACTCTCCAACTTACTCTCAACAAAACAACAGTTTAATTGGCAATATCACAACTAAGTCTAAGCTAGAGCTACTAAACTGATTGAGTAAAACCTTCATCTCTGTATATATATTGGAAGAAAGGCAGCTCAGGGATTTTTTATGGGCCCTGTCAGCCAAATGAAAGTATACCTTTCAAATAGTTTTAATTTAATTTTTGGGTTAAAGATAAAATTCCCCTTCAGTTTAAAAAAGATCACTCACATGATTGTATTTGCCAATGTAAGAAACTTATTCCAATTGACGTGAATGAAATTATCTCCAGAAAGGTTTTTTCTCCTCAGGCAATCTTCAGAAAGATTTCTAAAATATAGTTGGCAATTTTGGTACTCAAATAATATTTTTTTCATTGAGGTTGATTTGATTACAGCTACTGGTGCTATCATGCAGCCTCTTATAATATTCTAAAGTCAAATTATAAATATTTTCCATGAAACTTCTGTCAAACTGGATCAGTTTTTGGAACTTCCACCAAAGAAACTGAGAAGATTGCTTGTGAGTGTGCTGAGACTGGGACTTCCTGTGACTGTTACCATGACATCTTTCTGATCTGTTCTCTCTGGTTGATTGTAAATCACGTTGTGCCTTTCTGCTAAGAAAGTCTTTGCAGCATCATCCCATGAAACTCTTGCTTCCATCACCTAAATGATTAACTCTTATTAAATACTGTATCATTTTCAGTATTTTTGAATTTATACAAAAAACAAGCAGTTATTATTATTATTAGAACTAGGATCATATTTTAGGTTTTCGTGGTATTTACTATAAAGGGCAAAGGGGGAGGCTTTAAAATGAAACCAGTTTAGAAAATAACATTCATGAATACAATTTAATGAAGAATTACAAAAGTCTCTGGTTTTTTCACAATATCTTTTCAACGCATAATATGCAAAATTGAAATGAAATTATTTACCTTAAGCTCCTGACAATGTCCAGTTGGTCTCAGTAGTGACCTTATGATGACTGGCTGGTCCTCCACATGTTCATTGAAGGCCATGGGGTTAATAGAGGATAAAGAGATCAAGACTTCTCCAGCAAAGTCATCTGCCACTAAGCAGTCAAAATCCATTATGGTCATCTGCAGGCAGGCTCCAGGTTTTGACATCATGTCCTTACCAATACCATGACTGAAAAATGTGTACAGGAAAATGATATTTCAGAATATAATATATAAATAATTTAAAACCATT